ATATTGAAAGCTGCACCCACTCCATCGTCTATTTTCTATAGAGCTCCTTGCAAACGATTTCCAAATATCCCCGTGGCTGAGGCGTAGTTATTGTCGTTGGTTTGCCAGAGGAAGGGAGCTCGGGGCTCCTCTGTTTTCATCGGCGCTTAGGAACTTCTCTCCCTGAGCCGATTCGGTCGCGAGGGATGCAGAGGGGTTTTGTGTGGCTTGCGCACAGATCTCAGGCTCTGCTAGTCCTGATCCTTCCCTGGCAACAGCATGGGGGCTCAGGAAAATTATCCAGGTAACAGTTTTCTAAAGGAATTTTTCTCTCCCGGGTGGTTTGGTGCCTAATTCATGAGGTGCCAGAGCGCTGAGCATCTCTGGCTGCGGGGCTTCCCCAAAGGAGGCTGCAGCTTTTGTAAAGTGGCATCCTGAAATGCCGAGTTTCAGTGCTGGGATGAAAACTGAAGCGTTGCATTTTGCTCCATCTGCGTTTGCCGGGCTCCACAGCAGGAGGCTGAGGCGGGCAGGGTGAGGATCGTGGCTGCATCCAGCCTTGCCGGTGGTGCCAGGGTTTGCCGGGTGCTCAGTGATGTTCGGGAGCAGCTGGTGCCCGGTGCGCCGGGTTTGAAGTGAGAATTTTGTGGCAGTTCTGTTCCTTGAGCCTGGGATGTGTGTGGACTCAGCTGCCAGGTGGAAAGCACAGTTATTTCCATCCCGGGCTTGCCTGGAGGCTCTGTGGCGGGGGATGCAGCCTGGTGCAGGATCCTTTTCATTTTTCCCCTTTGAACTTGCTGTACTTGAAATCCTAGTATCGAGGTGGGTCGGTCGGGAAGGGAGAGCGGAAACAGAGCATGTGTTCAGTCTGAGAATCAAAATCATTTTCCTGGATGCACGGAGCTGGTCCTACTGAGCAGGGAGCTGGTCCCCCACTCTATCCTGGCTCTTGGGAAATCCTGAGGCCACAGCTCAGCTCATTGCGAAACTTGTTGCATTTTGAAGACCTTTCCCTGAGGTTTTTTACCCCGGAGCTTGTGGGCTCCGGTGCCACCTTGTCACTCCGTGCAGTTACAAGGGGAGAAGTCTCAGCCTGCCCTCACCTTCATCCACTTTCCCACCCCAGTGCAGCCAAACCACAGCCCCTGAGCAAAAGAAGGGGGGCAGCGGGATGGATTTGCACATCTGGCAGAGCACACCCCAGCTGTGACTCCAGGGGTGCAGTGGGGCATGGGGACAGGGGTGAGGGTGAGCATGGAGCAGGGAGAAGCCGGGACGGGGCTGTTGGAGCAGGGAGAAGCCCAGAGGGTGTGCAGGCAGACGGGATTGTTGGAGCAGGGAGCAGAGCACCAGTCTGGCAGCAGGCGCCAGAGCCTGGCCATAGATAATGGAAGGAAATTGCCTCCAGGCAAAATGAGAAGCGGCCAAACACTCCCTGAGCCCAAAGCCCTTTCTCTGAAGGGGTGGCTGGTGTGGGCAGCTGGTTGTTCCTGAGGCCAGAGGGAGGGAAGGAGGTGGTGGCTTTTGGTTCCCCAGGGATGAGGGCACTTCTTGTGCCCAAGGTTCAGAGCATCCTGGCCTCCAAAGTGGGTGCAGTGAGAGCCCTCCAGGGATGCCAATCCCCCGTCAGGCAACATGCAGGGGGTGGGATGGGGGTGGATAACCAGCTGTGGGAGCGTAAGTCCTGTGGCTTGTTAGCATCAATATTCTGTGCAGCCCATAGCCCCACACATGACAAAGGAGCAGGGGTAGGGAACCTCTGAATGTCACTGAGCTGAGACTCAAAAATGTGCTTTTTGGGTTCTCAAAGGCGGCCCTGTGTTTGGAGAGCCCCAGCTGCCATCACGTTTGCATGCAGTCCCTTTCCATGAAGGAATGTGGACCTCCCGGTGTCCCCGAGCTCACAGCAGGAGCTGCTGCCTGAGCAGAAAGTTCTCCCAGCAGTTCCTGGAGACAAAGGAAATGCAGGATAGAAACGGCATCCGTGATATGAACCAAGCAAAGCACGCTCAGAGCCCCCTGCAGTGGCTCATCACCAAAACAGAGGGGGGAAAAAAGCCAAAAAATGTCTATTTATATGCCCTGCATATGAAATGCCACCAGCACTTTACAGCCAGCACAGGCTTTGAGATCTGCTTTTTCTTCCTTATTTTCCAAAGCTCAGATGTTCCCTGGTGCTCTGTGGTGCCCAGGGCTGTAGGAAAGAGGCTGAGTGTGGTCTCCTTTAGAGAGAAGAGACCAAAACTCCCAGCATGGTGATGGCAGCTGGATTTATCCAGGAGAGATAACTGGGCTGGAGCATCACCCTTGTCCTCGCTGAGTGCAGGGCTGTGGTGCTCCTGCACTGGGGTAGGGAAGAAAAGCAGCCATGAGCTGCCTCATCCTTACAGAAACACACAGAATTAATGGTAATTAATTCTACCCAGGCAGCTTCACCCCTGAGAACCTACGCACCAGGCTCCTCAGTCCTCTCATACCTTCCTCCATTATCACAAATTAACCCAAACCTTCAGTAGGAGGAAAAACACCCCCTGCTTTTCATTGATTCCTTTTAGGAAAAGCAAGACAGGGATGTTGCCCTCATACCTGGGGGAAACTGAGGCACAAACAAAGCAGGGTCGAGTTCCTGATGGCAGGGAAGGGCTTGCACAAGGGAAAAGCCCCACAGAAATGGATTTTAGTCCTCAGCAGGGCAGCATCAGGACCACCACAGCCAGGACAGTGCTTTGTTTGTCCTTCCTCTGGTACAGAGGCGGCTCCTGTGCCCTGCCAAAGAAAGTGGGATTGTTAATAAGGCTTTCTCCTATTTACCTCTGGATGTTTCTAATTAGCCAGGTTGTGATAGTTCTGGGAGACGAGGGATCCTGTCCCCAGCAGCAAGGAGGGGCTGGAGGTGACACCACCAGGGATCAGGGGCCTTTTCCTGAGGGACAGGGGCTGGGGACACCCAGGGGTCAGGTCGAAGTCCCTGGAATGAGCAGAGCTGTGTGTTTTCCCCAAGCGTGGCTTTGGGCAGCCCCTCAGGAAGCTGGCACAGCACTGCCCAGGCAGATGGGGAAGGATGTGTTTCCACTAATCTGCCCCAATCTGGATTATTTTTCCAAATAAACCTCTGTTCCCAGCTGTTTTAAACCAGTTTTTGGTATGTTGGGGTCAGGTGGGATTCTGGGGATGAGGGAGAAGCTGGCAGGGGTGGAGGAGATGGAGAGGATAACATCTGCTGGGTGTTATCCTGCTGAGCCACCAGGCTTCCATCGTCTGCACAGAGGGAGGGACCGAACGGCTCTGAGGTGGTTTTGGCAGTGCATCAACCAAATCCTGAGGCTGGGATCATCCTACAGGCCCTCAGGCCTTCACTGAAGTTTCCTCCTGTCAAAAGCCAGAGCCAGTGGAAAATAATTTATCTTGAGGGCCTGGTATCCCCCCACCTCATCTCCCATCCAAAGCAGAGCTGGGATCCTCTGCAGCTCCTGCCAGGATAAAGCGGCCAAGAAAAGGCCTCTGGTGCTGGCTGTCCAGGATGATGCACATCAGCCAGTTCTGGGGGGTTTGGGGATCTCTCAGGGAGCCAGGATCAATCCAGGGCAGATCAGTGCAGGCCCCTGATCCTGCCTGAGGACACATGGGCACAGGCAGTCCCGCAGAGCTGCTCCATCCTCCCAGCACGTTCCCCAGCCAACCTGACATTTACAAATCCCTATTTTCAGATGATCTTCATCACTTCTAATTGTTCAGGCTCCTCAGCCTCAGAGATGCTGCTCTGCAGGGACAGGATTGGTCCCTGAGCCCATGTCTCTCTGGCCCTGTGCCTCAGTTTCCCGGTTGGCAAACTGCAGTTGAGGGTCTCCCCGTGACTCCAGGGACCAGGTTTTGGGGGCTGTTGGTCCTGCTCCCTGCCAAGGCACTCGGATGGGATTTCAGGTGCTCCAGCACACTCCATGGAAGCAGCCAGCCCTCATCCCTTCACAGCACCAGCCCACGGGGCACTAGCCACGTCCTCCCACGGCAAGAAGCAGCCAAGCAGGATGAATCCAGGAGGGACTGGCTCCGGAGATGCCTCAGGAGCCTGCAGAAAGCCAAGACCAGGGGACAGCCCACGTGGGCTGGGCTTGGCACATTGGTAATTAATTTAGTTACTAAATTAACATTTAAATTGACAAGACCTGAATGTGAAAGGCAGGCACTGCTGCCTGCCAGGACTCATCAGCTTCCAGCGACCCTGGCTGCTCCCAGCCCGCTGTCCCTGGGTCCTGGTGCTCTGCCAGCAGCACGGAGGGGCTTGCAGTCCCCAGGAGCTGCTCTGGTTCCCCACACTGCTGGACCAGCCCCATCATGCTATTCTGGAAATGTCTGTGCTCAGCAGGGACCAGGCCAGCAAATGCCAAGCCTGGGGTTCACCCTCTCCCTGCTGAAGTGTTTCCCAACCCTGGGCAGCCAGGGGGACACACTGGGAGCCCTGGGGCTCCATCCCTCTGCACGGGCTGGTGGTGGCAGCCGGTGCTGGATCCTGGAATTGCAGTGTCCCCACTACAATCCCTGCCCTGCTGTGCGCCCAGGGTGACCCCACTGCTCCCCTCATCCACCCCAAACAAACCTGACCCTCTCCCCACCCTTATCCTGTTTCCCAACCACCGGGAAGGTTGAGGCTCCCCCTGGAAAGCACCATCTGTTGCAATGGCTTGCAGAGGATGGGCTGGAATTCCAAGGGAGTTGTGGTGAGCTGGGAGGAGGAGAGTGCTCAGGCACAGCAGCCTTGGCAGATAAAACAACAGTGGGTACACAAGACCCCTCGGGATGGAGCCTGCAGCAATCACTGAAGGGACACTCCAGACCCCAGCCCCCCGTCAGCCCCAGGGACAGCCTCCACAATGATCAGGGGAGAGCTCAGTGCCATCAAAAGGAGCAGCTCTGGGCAGTCTCTTGATCCCAGACCTTATCCAAGCGGCACACTGATACTCCTCCAAGCCCATCTCAGCCTCTGGGGCAGAGGTGTTTGGCTAAAGAAGACAAAGAAACCTGGATTGAGACTATGAAGGGAATATTTTATTACTTATAACACTTCATTCAGCTAAATCCACATAGCAGTACACAGAAACTCTTCAGGAAAGTGCAAATTCTCACTCTGAATTTGTAATACGCCCTACTTTTACAGAACAGGCATCAGGTGAGCAGGAGCACAGATCCAGAACTCCCCAAGATTCCAGGCAAGGAGAACCATGCGACTTGAGACACTTCAATCACCTTGTACAAAGCCATTCTTGAGCAGAGGGAATCGAGCTGGACTGTAACCACCCCCCAGGTGTCACCATGCAAGGAGCCCCCCTTGGCAGGGGAGAGGACAGAGAGGGGGAGGGAAGACAAAACAAAGTGCTAACAGTATCAACTTTAAAACCAGAGACCATCCAGGTGCTTCCTAAAACAGCACACACATCCCACCCTGCCCAAGTGACAGGACCCATCGTTCCTCTCCTGGCTTCCACCGTGGTGTCACACAAACGCATTTCCTGCAGGGAAATGGGAGCTGGAATAACCTCAGAAGCCTGGCAGGGAGGGCACACCCCATGCTACCTGAGCACAGCTGAACCAGGGAGGAGCAGCACCAGGGATGCCAACATGCAGCTAAACCAAGCACCAGAGCTTGGGGAGGCAGGTCAGGGAGCCCAGGCAGCAGCTCACCCAGCCAGCTGAAACCCCAGAGGGTTTGCCCTCCTCACCCCACAGACAACACAGGTGTCATCTCCCTCCTCAGAAGGAAGGGCTGGATATTTGAAATGAGGGAAATGAGCAGAGCTCCTCAGGTGAGATCCCAGTTCTCCTGCAGCCCAAGGCAACCCCAGCTCCACAGATTCACACCCTGCTGGAGACGCAAGGGAAGCGGAGCTGGCTCAGCAGCCCAGCACAAAGTGGGGGCCACGCTGCTCCTCTGGGCCACAACTGCAGCTCAGCTCTCCCTGTTACACACATTCCCTCCTCCTCCTCTGCCACACCAGAGTCTACAGTTCCCTCATACACCCTCAGAGGTCCTGGAAGAGAGACACGGACAGCACTTGCAAATATTTAATCCACACCCTGCAGGCTCTATCACAACCTCAGTAAGAAACCCAACTACAAGCTCTGCCTCACAGACATTCAGCCTTGCCTGGCAAAGCCCTGAACATGGAAAGCTCCTGTCCCAGGCCCACAGAAACACCACTACAGAGATTAAACCTGTCACAGCCAAGAGACAAACCCAAGCCCTCCGGATTTCATCCAACACTAAACACAACATACCGGCTGCATGACCACAGCTTTAGCCCCTGTCCAGCCTTTGAAAAGGTGTTTTACCTGGAAGCACCTTGGAAACAACATCCACAGCATCCTTTGATCTGTGATCTGCTTTCTACTCAAGTTAGAAAAGCCTTTGTTCTTATCTGAGAAGTGGGAAAGAACAGCTGACAACTCAAGGAAGGTTGTGCACAAAGTGAACTCTAACACAATGCATAACAAAGTTACGGGGCAAGGGAACGAGAATTCCAGTCCTTCACAGTAACAGAAGTAAGGGGAAGTAAGGGATGCGAGATCAGAGGGAGGAGATAAAGGAGTTCCACAAATGGAACAGTATAAATATATCAAACAGCTCCAATACAGTAGGAAAACAACAGTAGCAGCAGTTTCAAAATAGCAAATAGTTATTATACCCTGAAAGTACATTCAACACGTTGTGCCTGCTGTTGTCCTCCCAAAAGCATCTCTACAGCTACAGCTCACTGTCAAACCTATCCACGGGAAAATGCCAGAGACACAACACCCCACAGCTGGGTTTTCTTCTTTAATTAAAGATAGACTATGAACAGGTACCAGCTTCTAACAGCGCTTGTTTGAAAACATTTTCTCCATTTCTAGCACTTGCCTACTGACACAAAGCAGATCTCTGGGAAGCTGCAGATTGCTGCTCTTTGTAGGAGCACAACCACCACTCACAAGACGTGACTGCTACAGTAGCACCCAGCTGGGCTCATCACACACACACACACTATGCTTTTTACAGTACTTGTTCAAAATCATGCCCCAAGTCACTTGTTCTCTTTGCTGCTTGGAGAACAAAATCCTCAACACCTCAGAGTTAATCTGCTGCCAATGGAAGGCATGGCAAGAGCTCCTTCAAGTTCAGTGCTATGGGGATCTAGATCTGCACCCTTTTTGGATCCAGAGCTGGAGCAGCAGTCAGAAATGCCTTCCCAGCCCTACCCAGCACAGACAACAAAAGTATCCTCTGAGTGTAACTGGGTTTACCTGTTTTCCCCACCATGTCAGTCAAATGTACAATCAAGGTAAAAAAAACCCAAGCTTTTGGCATTAGATACATTTCACTCAATGGCAGAACAATTTGGAGACACTTTCTCTTAAAATAAAAAAATAAATAAATAGCAGTGACAGGTCAGAATTTGTGCAACACAGACCTTCTCTAGTACATGTACATTCATAGACACTGAAATACTTCTCCATGGATATAGTGCAAAGCTGCTGGCAGCAGGAAACCCCCAAACCTCAGGGCTCTCTGAAGCCATGGAGAGGCAACACACACAAACCTACCCTGTGCCATCCTATGGCATCCAGCTGCAAGGGCATCATCAGAGGGAGGATGAATTTGGAGAGGCAGCAATAGTGGCAAGACAACAGCTTGAGCTCCAGAGCACCTTGGGGTCTTCTCCCATCATCTTCAACACAGATAAAACCCAGCACTGAGTTGCTGCTACTTCTCTTTAGACAGCAGGGAGCTTCCAGAACCAGCTCTCCTGAGCCAAACACGGCCTTTATTGCCCAAAATATAACCACAAGGACAACTTGAGTATTGGTTTGGGTGGTTTTGGTTGTTTGGGTTTTTTTTGAAAATGTGATTAGCAATCTTACTTGCTACTTGAACAAAGTGAGAAAACAAATGAGAGAAGTTGTTAAAAAATTACCCTTAAAGATAAAGAATAAAAGAATTTGCAACATGCTATTCTAACAGAAAACACCCAACAGGACATGACCAAAAAAAATTTTTAAATTTTAGTAATTGTGTCCATCTCTCATCTCCACTTTCTTCCTTGGGTTTTTTTTTTTAATACACAGACAATATAAATCCAGGCCAGCAAAATCCAAAGAGTCACTGACCAGCAATTTCATTCAAAGTAATGAATACAGAAAACCAAGACCCTTCAGAGATGTGGGACAAAAAGTAGCTACAGAGCCTATGGTAGTCAGAAGGGGCAATTTTACTACGGAATAACCAAGTTCATGCTCTTTGGAAGCCCTGGAAAGGCACCAGGCAATTCCAATCCCGAGCTGCAGCTGTTGCCACTATTGTTTCACTGCCAATTCTTTTAAGACACACACAGGAAAGCTACAAAGCCCAAGAACACCTTCACCAACAAAAGAATTCTTAAGTAGCTGAGAAATGTCAACAATTTGCCTAAACAAGAAATGCTGAGCTCTGATTCAATGCTTTTGGAAGTGCAGACCGGTATGGAAGGTCTCAGAGCTGAGGGGAAGAAGCAACCTTTGTTGTCAGTTTGGAGTGATTACTCCTTTAAAACTTTGAAAACCTTTTCACGCACAAAAAAGAGGTGTTCTAGGTACCTGAACTCAGTTTAAGACAAAATCTAGCAGCTAAGCTCAGCTGCCTCAAAGGTACTAGGGCAGTTCATTTGCATTGGTGTGGTTAATTAAACTTTTGGTCAAAAGGACTGAAAACTGCAACAATAAATTCTACCCTTTCCTCTGACCTCCTGTCCTTATCCCAATTTGGTGAAAAGCCTGACAAAAGAATGCTTCTCCTTTTCAGAAAAAGAATGCAGCTGTTAAAAACACACACACACACACAAAGATGAGACTGGTTCTGCTCCGGGGTCCTTTGTTCCGTGGGTTTCTCCTGGGAGCTCTATGCAGAGCGCCAGGTCAGCCCGTTCTTGGCAGGCTCCAGGAAATTCTCAATCAAAGCCTCAATCAGCTTCTGGAGCTCTTCCTCCAGCACACTTCTGTCACTGCAGGAAAGAACAGGGCCATGTCAGAGGTCTGGGAAACGCCCAAACATAAATAAATGAACAGCAACACCTGATGGGGATGGACTGGCTCTGCTGTGTTTCCTACCCCACCAGGTGCAGAGACTCCAAACTGCCTGCTTTAACAAGCTCCTTTTCAGCAGGGATTATCATGGAATCACAGAACGGTTTGGGTTGGAAGGAACTTTTAAAGATGGTGCCCAGAGCCCTCTAGTGGCCTTTTTCTTCAATTAAATTAATTTCAATTAATACTGCAATAATCAGGTGGTGAAGCCCTGGCACAGGTTTGCCCAGAGCACCTATGGCTGCCCCAACCCTGGGAATGTCCAAGGCCAGGTTGGAGCAACCTGGGAGAGTGAAAGGTGTCCCTGCCCACGGCAGAGGGGTGGAATGAGACTCTCTTTAAGGTCCCTTCCAACACAAACCATTCCATGATTCCATAACAGAAGAGGTTTCTGTGGTGTAAACACACCCTGGATTTCCACCCCCTCTTTTAAACCAGCAGCGGCTCAACCCGGGTGAACAACATCTAGCTCCTCTCCAGCAGCTCAGAGTAACACAGCAGATTCCCACAGGCAATGGGAGCCCACATGGCTGCAAACACTCACCAGCAGCAGCACAGCCTCAGAAGAGAAAGAAAGGCCTGGGTGTGGCACTCAGCGCCCTGGTCCGGTTGACAAGGCGAGGGTTGGGCACCGGTTGGGCTCTGTGAGCTCAGAGAGCTCTCCTAGCCTAAACTCCATGCTTTTGTCACCCCATCACTATTTAACTGGAAGTGGGAGCTGTGTTTGTTAAGGAAGCCACCGTAGCAGATGCTGAGAGCTCCATGCCTGGCGTGTCCCCGCTGCGGGCAGGCCGGGAGCTCGGGCACTGACCTGTGCCCAGGCAGCGCGCACATCTCGGCGTAGTACTTGATCTTGGGCTCGGTGCCGCTCGTGCGCAGCGTGGCCACGCAGCCGTTCTGGAAGGTGAACGTGATCATCTGGCTGCTCTTGCTCACTGGCAGCACCTACGAAACACCAGCAGCCCCTTACTGCCACTGCAGCAGCAGCCAGAAGCTCAGGAGCTGCAGGCTCAGTGAGTCAATAGAGGTCATCAGCTGTTGTGTCAGAATAGCCACGGCACTCACTCCACACATGCCTCTCCCCCCCTGCATTTCCCTTCCAGCTCCTGCAGGCCCTCCCCTGCAAACACACTCTAACTCACCGACTTCTTGTTCAGCTGGCTGCTGTCGTAGCCAGTGGTGACGTCCCGGACGTGCAAGATGTTGTAAACCCCACAGCACTTGGGGTAAGACTGAGGGCCATTGAAGTTCCGGAGTCTCTCAAATATCCTTTTGATTGTGGGGGGATCATAGCACAGGAAATAGGAAGTCTTGGATATGTGATATCCATACCTACAGGCAGATTAATGTTCTCAGTTGTAAGATTCAGAGGGATTTGGCACATTTGGTATCTGAGAGATCTCAGTACGAGGCTTAATTCTGACAAACACCATCCTTGTGTTAATCCTGGGATTGCATCCATCGCCATTCCTTCCACCTCTGCTGTTACAGATACCTTCTGGCAGTGGGAAGCCATTCCTTGTGTCCTGTCCCAAACCCCTCTCTAGCCCTCCTGGAGCCCCTTGTGATTTATCTGCAGTAGTGATGGGCTGTAAGCCATCCTACATCAAAAAACCCCACAATGATTTACCATGAGAAAACATCTGAGGGACACATTTACTTATATGTATTTAAAGAAATATTCCTTAGATTATTCCCAGCTCTGAAACACTGATACAGAATATTCTAATGAAAAGCACCACTCACATTTCATAAATGTCAAGCAGTTTCTGTGCCAGGGTCAGGCTCTGGCCCTGCAGGTAAGTTGCCATTTCAGCAGTGACCACAGCTGCACTCACTCCATCCTTATCCAGCACTGATGTGCCACACATGAAGCCTAGGCAGAAAAAAGGGATTGTGGACAAATAACCTGACAGATTATTACACTGATTTACTCGACTAAAGTTTTAACCTTTGATCCTACAAAGGAAAATTGGCTGGTACATGGAAGCTGCTTTATTGCTGCATATGCAGGAGAAATCTAATTAACTTGGGGGTTATAGGGCTGGAAAGATAAGCACAACACCAGAACCAGCAAGTCAGATACAATTTATTATGAGAGCTGCCAAGTCAATTTGATGAGAGCAAAATATCAATGCTATTAACTACTAGGATAAAAATAAAGTACTTTCTCTGTGTTTGATTTCATAACTGAGATCAGTCCTTCCTAGTCACATTCCCCCCTCAGTTCTCAACAGTTTAAAGGGATATCAGCACTCATACCAATAGACTCCTCAAATGCAAAGAGAACTTCTTTTCCATTATCCAGGAGATTTTTTACTCTGCTTCCAATCCATTTAAAACCAGGGAGTGTTTCCTAAAACAGAGGGGAAAGAAGGAGTGCTTAAAATACATATTTCAAATTTAGTTTAAATTCACAGAAAAAAAGTATAGCCACCATTGCCTTCAATTCAAACTAAGAAAAACCCAAAAAAGCCCCCACACACAGACCAACAAAAGAGAAAATATAACAATGTATTTTAAATTTAGGGTCAATGGGAAAGACTGCTGCAGAGTCAAAACACTAAAGCTTAAGGATGTTTTTCTGATTTTTTGAAGTGATTTCCTTAAATTTAAATCTGATTAATTGATAAGCAGAAGAGGGACAATAAAGAAGCATCAGACAAGTCCTATCTTTAGTCTGGATGATGAATCCAAGGCAAAGAGCCACTGGAAAACATTTTCCTAGTGGATACTCAACTAGGACATGAGGATCAAACCAAGGAAAAAGTGTGTCAGGGACTGTGATGCTCTGAGATCACATCAGATCATCTGTGCCTCTCATCAGATGAGACACAGTTATTCAGGAGGAAAAGCTACAGAAATATAAAAGCAACACTTTCAGGTGCTGGGAGGGGAGAGCACTGTTCTGGGGGTTTTTTACATAAATCATGCAAAAGGAGTCAAAAGCTTAGAAACAGCTTTTCTTTGAGAGAAGGAAGTTACAAGTAAAAAGGAAGGGGAGCTTTTAGAGAAGGCCAAGAGCTTCTGCAAATTCCTAGCTTCTTTTTCTTTCAGTCAAGTATGTCCTTTTCCATTAACAAAACAAACAGTAGAGAGAGAACCAATCCACTACAAGGAACTGATGTTCTCCCTGATTGAGCTTATCTGGCCAGTCACTCAAAATGGTTTTCAGAGTTGCTTTCAATTTTAAATTCCTCATTGTTTGGCAAAATATTTATTCCTATTGCACATGTATTTAATTAAGAGACAGATAAACGACGTCCCTTTGGACATTTGTATGCTGTGCTATGATTTTGGGCACTCGCCTCTCTCTTCTGGCTAGCATCCAACAGAAACCAGATTTAATTTGGATGCAGGAACTAAACTGTCAGTCTGGGGGGAGCACCCCCAGTTTATTTTTTAGAAAGTTCTTAAAGCTGCAATAAAGATCTGAACACAAGAGCTCCTCTGCCTGTCCCCGCCTGAAGTAAACCCAAACTCAAAATGTGCTGGCATGGGGCACCTGAAGGGCCTTTGTGTAACCTCCAAGCACTCATTACAAACCCATCAACACTCCAGTGACCACAGCAAGGCTGCACAAACCTCCCTTCTCTCACACAGAAGAATTTCTCTCTAGGGAGATAACCACAGCTAAGGTACTGCTGTTATCTGGAATCAGTTGTTAATTTGTGTCCCTGTTACCGAGCTTTGCCCAGGCTGATCTCCCAGTCTGAGAACACTGAGGAGATTGAAATTGGGCTTGTCTGGGTGAAAGAACATTCTCTTCGAGTTGGAATCCCTCACAACTCCCAGCCAGAAGCCTGGAAGGCCCCTGCCTGCTTTCCATTCCGTGAGGTCAGGCAGGGGTTCAGATGGAGACACAGCACATCACCCGCACTCACCTCAAAGTGAAATCCCTCTTTAAGTGCAATTGCCCTCAAAATCTTGGAGGAGACTGTGGTTGCCAGCATGTAAACATTCCTCACATCAGCATCTGGGGAGCAGTTCTCCTTCCAGCGGGAAAACATCCACCAGCCAAACAAGGCTGCCAGCTCATTGCCCGTGAACACCTTCCAGCAGCCACTGCAGGGAGAGGCAAGGTGAGGGATGGGGACAGGAGTTCTGCAGTCACTGAACACCAGAGGGCTGGGGACAGTATCTCTGCAATCACTGAACACCAGAGAGGCAAAGTGAGGGCTGGGAACAGGAGTTCTGCAGTCACCAAACACCCAAGGGGCAAAGTGAGGGATGGGGACAGGAGTTCTACAGTCACTGAACACCAGAGAGGCAAGGTGAGGGCTGGGGACAGGAGTTCTGCAGTCACTGAACACCAAAGGGGCAAAGTGAGGGATGGGGACAGGATCTCTGCAGTCACTGAGTGCCAGAGAGGCAGAGTGAGGGCTGGGGACAGGAATTCTGCAGTCACTGAACATCAAAGGGGCAAAGTGAGGGATGGGGACAGGATCTCTGCAGTGCCTGAGTACCAGAGAGGCAGAGTGAGGACTGGGGACAGGAATTCTGCAGCCCCTGAGCACCAGGATATGAACACAGCACTGACAAAGCTGCTCTAGGCAAAGGCACCGTACGGACAGGACTCCACACTTCTCACACCTCAAGATTTTACAAGCCCAGCAAGGAAAGAAGCCCCAGGGTCTCCTGGCTGGCAGCTCCAGGCCTCTGATTGCCAGCAGCCTAGAACTGATCAATACAGAGCAGTCTATGCCATCTGCACATGGCAGCCAGGCAGGGCCTGCACAGCTTTTACTTACACAGCCATTACAACCGGGGCCTGCTAGCGGGAGAAAAATAATTTATATTCAATATGAACAAACAGGGGAAAAGAAAGGATTAAAATTAAAAATATATTAAGAAAACCAAACAAAAAACCCACTCCACCAAAAAAAGTCCATGACAATTGCCAAAGAGGGTTTGCCTGATATAAATGAAAACACAGGAAACAAGAAGATTTGACTGTCTTTAGTAACCACTCAGTTTTCAGCTGAGCTGTACTTGGCCATTTACTATTACACCAGTAAGTATTTAATCTACCCTTTGCTGAGTGAACTGATTTTAAATGCATTTGGAGCTATAGTAAAGGACAAAACTAGAAGGAAAAATACCCATCTACCTAAGGAAAAGAGTGGATTGAAGGCCTGTGCCTGACAAGCATTTGGGGACATTCTCTGACCTTTTCTGCAGGAAGACACAAAAAAGGGTCCCAACACTTACTTTTCTTGCTGTTCTGCCACTGCCAGTCGATCTGCATCTGGATCAGTGGCCACTACTACTTTTGCATCTTCTTTCTCTGCAAGCCTCAGTGACAGCTCCTGGTGGGAGAAAAAGGAGGGGGCAAAAAACCCCAAAACATGAGAGTAAATAAACCCACAGCCTTCCTACTTGTACCTAACCCCCAGTAAAAGAAAAGCCCCCCGTGCATTGCCCACTGTATTAATACAGCTGAAAGCTCCCTGTTCTCTTCCTCTGTTTGCTTTTCCTCACAGAAATCTGATGAAGTAGAAGCCAAAATACCAGCACAGATTCTCCTTCTTCAGGATTTGGGCATTTGACAGTAGAGAAGTCTGGATCTGGATCTTTTTGTTCCGGTACTGGAATGGGGGGCTGAAATCCAAAGGCTTTGAAGGCCAACTGCACATAGTCATGTCCAACTCCATGGAAAGAGGTATGGACAAACTTCAAACTGCTCTGCACGTTAAGCTCCCTGAGGAGGAAACAGAACTTCAGTAAGATTTCAGCTGTTTAACAAGACTATCTTCATGAGGGAAAGCAAAATAAGCTGCAATTCCCTGGTGTACTATTCTGCTGATTTCTGCACGAATTTCAAAGGAACGAGTGAAAGTGCTTATTTTGCACTAGAAATTGCTGGGTTAAAGCTTCTTCCCCCTGGAAAATTAAGTATTTACCTTCCACTGAAACAGATCAAAGTCTCCCAAGAATAAACTGTTGATTTCTACATCAAACTCAAGCTCTTCCACCACCTTAAAATGTTATTCCAGATCTGCTTCATGTCATACATCCTCCTCCTTTTATTCTCATCTTCTGCCCCATCTAACCTTTAGACTAAATCTATTTTATGCATGTGCACCTCACTTTCACTCTGAATTTCTGCATTTTTATTCAGAACTCTCGGAGCGTATTCACTTGCACTAAATGGTTTCCACTGGGTGCTTCCCAGCAGCTTAACTCCCAAAGGCAGCTGGTTTATTCTCAACCAAATGGATTAATCCTAAGGATGCTGACCCATGAATTTAATGATACCTCAGAGAGCACAGTCAAGACTGTCTGCAGTCAGCTTTTGCACATGCAACCCACAGCTTAGTTAGAAACGTAACTTAGGTACAATATCTATGCTATTATACAATTTTTTGCTTTATACAATACCTATGATAGCAGATCTTTGTCAGATCCTCCATGTAGCTGTCACAAATTTTCTTCAGAGGATCTTGTCTGAGGGGACTGGTATCTACCAGATTTTCATTCCAGGAGCCATTCCATGGTTCAACACACTCTTCTATACATTTTATAATTTCCTTATCATGAGGAGAGGTGATCTGTGCTCCATTTTCCCAATAAACCTGGTCATAGTTGAAGGATAACAAGACACAGTTTATTCACAAGGATTATTAACCTGATGAATTCTTTTAGCTATGGGATGCCACCTACTTTCTGCCCAAGTCATACAGAGAAGTCAGCATCTGACTGGCTTGATTCTCAAGACATTTGGAATAATTCAACACAAACCTCTGAGCTCAGGATTGTGATACATGGAGCTGACACAGCAACACAACCCATTTTCTCAAAAGCTGGTATTTAACTATTACGGCTGAAATATCAGGATGTGAAAAACCGAAACGGGGTACTCATATCTGGGAGTGCTGTGCAAATTGTAAGAAAAACACCACCTTCTCCAAGGCTGGCATTCCTTTCAAAAAAAGGGAGTACAACTTGTTTTTGAACCCCAAGCAAAACAGATAAGCAGAGTGCCAAGGTCCGTGTTTTTCCACAGCTGAGCAACTGTAATCTCTCAGCTGGAAATGCTCTCTAGAGTGGAAACACCATATCTAACCCTCAGCTATAAAAAAAGTCTTTGTTAAAGATTCAGAGGCCAGCTTTCCCACAGTCTGTTGCCAATAGCATGGCTGAGCCCACAGCACAGACTGCCCAGATAATCTGCCTCTGTTTTCTCCTCAGCATCCTCTGCATTTGTCACCTTCGGTTCAAATTGCCCAAAACCTTCAAAAGCTGCTGAAATTCACACGGGAAATTGGGAAAGATGCAACAGCTCTTGGGAAAGACTAAGAAACAAACCAGTATCCTGGCAAAAGTGAACTGCTATGTATCAGAGCTCAGACATGAAATTGCTTCTTGACAAATGAAGCACCTGGGAAATTCATGTGGCTTCTTTCCTTCCACATTGCTCCAATTAGGCAGAAACAAAGGCTGGTGAAGAACTTAACAACTTGCTCCAGGGAAGACAAGAACAGTTCAATCACCCCCAAGAGTTCTCTCTGGGCATGGCAAGACTGCCTTTCCTCACACTGCCATCACTCACTGAGCTGCCACAGGGCTTCTAGAATGCTCAGCTAAACTTGAGAGTTTAGTTCAGGTTCTTATAAAGCTGAGGAAGGAAATGCTCAGCTAAAACATTGCACTTGCTATTGTGAATGGTTTTAAAGTGAAGCCACCCACCCCTCTTCAGTGCCCAGATAACCAGGGAACAACACAATGCTACTATTAATTAATGTTTTATTAATCCACTCTTAAATCATTCCCATCTTCAGCACAGTCCCCTACTGTGTGCATGAATTCACCTCTAGCTTAGTTTTAAACTTCAGCAGTGAACACACAAATTGCTGGAGCACTTCTTCAGCTGCTGATTTGACTCTAAGGAACATCACTACAGATTTATGCTCTAGATACATAAACTGTGTGGTCTCGTGCTCTCACCACAGACAAGCGTGCCAGGTTATAGCAGGATGAATTATTTTACATGGCTTATCCTCCTAATAGACACAGGCAAAAAGAGCTTTTTCACCCTGAGCCTGGGGAGGCCCTGGCACAGGTTCCCCCCATCCCAGAGGGTTCTGAGGCCAGGCTGGACAGGGCTTGGAGCAACCTGGGATAGTGGAAGGTGTCCCTGACTGGCAGGAAGTCAGACTGGATGAGTTTTAAGGCCTTTTCCAACCCAAACCGCTCCGTGGTGCCACGACAGGCCCAGTGCAGACAGGGGATGCTGCAAAGCAGCTGTGAGACGCCGGGACCGAGGCCTCACCTTGTAGCCATTGTCCTCCTTGCGGTTGTGGGACGCTGTGATCATCACCCCAGCCACAGCCCCGAGCTGCTGCACGGCGTAGGGCTGCAAAGGAACCAGAGACAGCGCTCACACCAGGCTCTGCCACACATCACACTGCTAGGACAGCTCTGCAATAGGATCCCACAGAGGCAGCTTCTAACCCTGCACCGGTTTATCTGAAAGCTGCACATGTGGGCACTCCGCACTGTCTCCTGCAGCCAGCGGTACAAAGTTGGTTCTAATTCTCCTCCATAAAAATCACTCTTTTTACCAATTACAAAATGCAGCTGTTAACTGGCCAGCTAAAGTCTATACTCAGATTACAGGAGCACTTGGAAACAGGCTGAAACAGGATGAAGGAATTCACAGAAAGGCTTGCTGAAAAACAAATTACAGGTACTCCAGGCATTCCAGTCCTCCCCTCAAACCAAGGTCCACAGAATACACAGCACACCAGAAGAGTTTATGGAACACCAGCAAGGATTTGAACCCATGCAAGGCAAAGCTGCTCAGACTAGAAGAGTCCATTTTTGAGATACTGAAAGCCGAGGCACCGAGGAATTGGGCGACATCCTTGTTACAGCAGCCTCCTTGCAGAGCCAAGTGTACCAAGCAGTCTCTGTTTTTCTGTTAAATAACAGAATTTAAGAAAATTGCTAGTTCTCTTGTTCAAATACTCCCTTCACTGTGTGGTGTAACAATATGGATGAGAAGGTGACTCACCACAAAGGGGGTAGGGACATAGGTGGAGAAGAAGTACACAAGTACATCTTTTGCCAGCAGGACTGCTGCAGTGAGCTTTGCAAGCCTACCAACAAGAAAAAGAAAAGATTCAGTCACTGCAACTCCCCAGGGCAGCCCAACAGCCAGGTGGAATTCCTGTCACCTCCAGGCACTTGTTTCTTAAAGCACTCTACTGCTTTTTAGCTTACACTTAGAGTGGTACCCTACAAATTGCAGTCAGGGTAAGAGTTTTCAGGCTGCAGAACCTGAGCCAGCACTTGGAGCTGCTGCCTGGACAGGGGCACTTCAGCCCCTCACCCAAACAAAGCAGATATCCCACACAAAGATACAGAACCCACTAGCAGAACACTCATCCTTTGCTCAAGGACAGAACCAACTTCCCAGAAAGTTTGAAGTACCAGATGTCTGCAACAGCAGGCTTGGAAAAGGGCTCGGTATCCCACACAAACCTCATTTGCCAGCCCTGCTCAGACAGTGTTTAGGAAGCAGATCTAGTCCTAAAATACATTTCTGCAAAGCAGCACCCCTCATTCCAGAATGTTTAGAAACAGCACCCATAGTACTAAATCTCACTTTATAATAAACTCTCCCTTTCCAGCACCAGGGAAGCTCATTCTCTTCCAGGTAACTGATATCAAATTCCTTTTGCACTCAGGTACCCACAGCTCAGGAGAAAAAGGGAAGTCTCAGAGCCAAAGCAGATGAGATATTAAATGGTGTACGCTCACCTTGCTCCCTTGTTCTCACAGACAAGCACCAATACTGACTTCCTTCTCTCCACCACCAGCAACCCAAGTTTCACTGACTCAGAATTTCACCACAGCACCTGTCAAATGTCACCTGAAACCACCTGGAAGAGTTTGAGAGCTCAGCTTGGAGTTGAAGCTACTAAAATTCTGCTTGGTTTACACTAAATTACAGGACACAGCTGGATGACCTGCAATCCCCCTGAGCCCTGCTGCCCACACAGTGCTGGAAAAGCACTCTGCTCCCACTGGAAACACTCCTTTGGGGGAACAAGGTTTTTGCTGCAAGGGTGCATTATCCCTGGGGCACAGGAGAAACATGGAGTCAGGAACCAAGGAGCTGCCTGGAGGTGTGAAGCAGCTGCATTACCATCAAGTCTGAATTCCAGGCTTTGTGTGGCTAAAAAGGGACATCACTCTGACACTTCCCCATTTTTACACTGTGCCTAACCCACACGAGCTGGGTTTGTAAACATGAGGAGTTGGGATAATGGGTCACACCTATGCCAAGGCATTCAGGGATAAGGAGAGACAGCCACTGCATTCTGTCCTCTGTTATACCTAGGATTTCATCCTTGGAACATTAAATACTATGAAAGTTAAAAAAAACATGGAACTGTTAGTTACAACAATAACTACAATAACTAACTTCTCATTACAAAAATACTAATTAGCTACTAGGTTGGTTTTTTTGCACAGCATGCCATTACTACATGTGTTTGCCTCCCAGTGACAAGGGATTAAGATTCCTTAGAGAATTCAGGAACCAGTTTTCTCCCCCTTCCTTGCAAAGAGCACAATTTAACATTTCTGGAAGTCTACATTTTAAGCATTCCAAGTAAAATCCCCTCAAAGTGGAAATAGACCGGATTACAGCAGGCTGCAGGTGGAATTGTTCTCCCCCAAGCAAGCTTAAATCAGGTGTGAAATACCAGAGAATGACAGTGTTGAAAGTGCCTTAATAGTTAGGGGGTTCCAGCTGGATGTTAATACTCTTGAGTTTACCTTCATATTCAAATTTATCTCCAGGCATATTAAGCCTAATGTACTTGTGAATTTAATCTGTAAATTCTCTGGTGGAGCAAGCAGCAAACTGGTACCACAAAGGATTTAGTCCCAGCCTCTCCTCATTACTATTTCAATGGACTAAGGGAGAGGAAAGAGCGTGCCCAGGTCATCACAAACAAAAAGAAAAAAGTGCTGACAGGACAGAACACATTTAAAGCCACAATTTCATTTCTAGTCTTGCAAATGTAATCAATACTCATACTTCTTACTGCTGCAGTTGCTGGTGACCTGACCTCGTGTGTCATATCCAACAACAAAGCCTCTCTGTTTAAAGTCTGAAAAGTTCCTCTCAAGATACTTGTAGATCCCCTGGAGAAAAAGAAAAAAAAAAAGAGAAAAGAAGAATTAGCTGGACAGCAGCACACACAAACATTAAAGGTGATCTTTCACAAAGGATGGGTAATGTCAGTAGGCAAAATACAGCTCAAACACATCAACAGTATTCTCAAAAGCAGCAAGCATTTTCCCCCAGTGTTCACTGAAAGTAATGAGAACAATTGTTGTGGGAGATAAAAGCAAACAGGACAACAAAAAACCCTCAAGAAGTAAACACCCATTTTCAATCCATACTGTGTTTCATTTATTCAAATCATCTTCTCAAGACTGAATTGAGAAAAATCCCTATTTTGGAAGTCTATCCCTTCAGGCAATATAAAATGTGTCAGCCTAGTCTTGATCTCTCTGTCCACAGTACAAGTCAGACATTTTCAACATTGTTTCCAAAGTGTTAGTCCTAAATTTGCCTTAAAATCAGGGAATGGTTTGGGTGAGAAGACTAGCTTTTACTCCAGTTTCACCTCCCCTGCAGCCTTCACATCTGTTCATTTCCCAGGCAGAAGCTCTCTGAAGACCCACCACGGAAACAGCCCACGATTGATCAGCAGTTTCAGATAAAAAGATGGAAGCACTATTATTAATGGAAGTTTCTAGAGCACAGAGCACTCGGAGCCGCACTGATCCTACAAATGCTGCCTCTCACCGAGGCACAAACTGCCTCTTGATGGGAGTGGGGGTGTTCTGTACCAGAATTAAACAGATTTCCCCCCAAACCTGGATTTAGTGCAATCCTTCAGGATGTTTTTATCTGGAAAGCCAGACTGACTCCAACCCTGGAATTCAAGACCCATTTTCTTACATGGCTTTGGCCCTTTAGAATCACAGATTGTTCAGGCTGGAGATCAAGTCCAAGCAGGCACTCGAAGGATGCACTCCAAAGCATGACGTGGTGGATGCTGGCACCTCTCTGGAGAGCCCTCTCAGCTGCAGACACTGAGGGATTTGCACAGAGAGGGATGTATTTATTGTTAAAATAAATATAACTCTTTGAATGGTGGCAGGCCTGGAGGCTGTGCCATGGCAGGATCACATGCTGAAGTCACCTTCACGCTGAGCCCAAAACACACAAAATGTTCACCCTGCCCTGACAGCCTGCCAAGAACTTTCATTCTCAGCTACAAAGAGAGAGGAACAGGAAAAACTCTTCAAGTCAACTTGAACAACCTGAATAACACCTAAAGACATGAACAGCAGATTCCTTACAACAGATCCCATATTTAGGCTAAGATTTTGTATGAAGAAAAACAGGAATGTCTTTCCTTTCTGCTATGGAGCAGTTTGCTTAAAATTAATCCCTTAAGCTCAGCCACAGACTCCACAACTGAAGTTAGCTCAGTCCTACAGGACTTGCTTGCTATCCAAACATCTTTATGAAAGCTGCAGGAAATAAATCAATAAATGGCAGTGAGGAAGTGAATGCAGAGCCTCTGTACCATCTAAACCTTCTACCTGAGCTCCCACCAATCTTCTTCCAGGTGCCACAAGGACAGTTGGGAATTCCAGCACCTCTGAGGTTAAGTCCTCTCTTGAAAACGTTTTTCAATTTAAAGAATTTCTACTTCCCTTTAACAAGACTCAGGTTTTGATAGTGTCCCTAATTGCTACTGCTAGCCAATTTCTGCCACTCTTATAAATGAAGCCCAGGTGCATTTCATGGTGATAATTAATGGCTCATTAGCAGGTGTCAGCACACAGCTGTATAATCCCCTCAGACCTAAGCCAAAATTCTCTTCAGATGACTCAAGTATCACAATTTCCTCTCCCACTGTGTGGTTCAGGTGATTTCCTGATGCAAAATCCATGGAACAGAACAAGTCTACATCTACAGCATGTCCAGTCCCCTAGGCTCAAGTTCAAAAGAGAAGTGAGGGAACAGTGATGGTATCAAGAATAAGACTGAAAGATTTTTGGTTGATGAAATCCAGAGAGGTAGGACCAGCTTTATGAAGTCCAGCATTTAAATTTTTCATCTTTTACCTTTACCTTTGCTTTTTAGCAGCAGGAAACTCCTTGATGCAAAGGTGGCTTAGTTTTGTCACTGTGAAGATCAGTGACAGGTTGCTTTCCCACTAATAAAAGCACCCGGGCATGCATCAAAGTAGGACAAAAGCCAAGGAATCAGGGCTTTAAATGGAGTTATGTACCTGCAATTTTCAGCAGAGTCCACAGCAACTGCTAAATATTCTGTGCCTTTCTGGATCTGACATAATAGCAATATAACCAAATCAAATGAAAAAAAGCCAGAGCAAATGAAGGACACAGAACACATGTGGAGCCTCACTGCAGCTTATTTGAACTGAAGGAAGTGTTGGTTACACTCAGGTCTGCATTTATTCCTGTCCCAGAGAGCAAGGGCTGCCCATGCTCAGACCAGGCTCAGCAGAACCATTCCTGCCCTCAGCTTCTGAAACAAGAGTGCTCAAACAAAGATTAAACCTGCTGCAGGTTCCTTCAGAAACAAGTTCCAATCGACCTCCCAGAGGCTGCTTTTCCCGACTTGATCCACAGCTTTAATAAACAACTAAAAATAGCAGCCGTGCAGAGGGAGCAGATGCACACACCCCCGGTTTGCAACTCTCAAAAACCAGCAATGCCCATCAAACTGAGCTTGCCAGCACATTCCCTGCCCAGCAAAAAGCATTCCACTTTCTGCCAGGAACGTGGCTGAGCCAGCAGACCCACACTCGCTCACGCTCCGCCAGCCTGACCCACAGAGGGAGCAGGCAGTGGCCAGCACTTCCAAAGCAGCAGGGAAATGACTCCCAGAAACCTCCTCTGCTGCCAAGAAGAGAGCTCACCTTCAAAGCAGCTTGGCTTTGAAGGCTTTTCCACCACTGGCAACAAAACACTGATTTTTAAACCCCCTTTTCTCACTCTGCTCCCACTGCATCCACAGAGTCCACCTGGACCTGTTCATGCCACTTCAGCATTTCTGGCAGAGGAGGCTGGATCAGGAAGGGCAGGAGTAAAGGAAGGATCATTCTAGGATGTGTCCAGTTTACGGGTGAGACACCTAAAGGAAGCTTTTTGTTAGAAGCTACTGCAGAGCAAAACTCCCAGAGAGAAGGCTGGGTTTCAAACCAACACTTCAACACAAAACCTCTGTAAACAGCCTCTCCACAAGAGTGTGGGCTCCAGTTGTACAACTCAGACAACAGAACGTCACACAGATTAGGCGAGTCCCAGCTGTTCCAAGTTTTAAGCACATCCCTCCATCCTAGGCCAACAGAAAGCATTATTTCAGTCACATGTCCTGAGGGAGGTCAGCCTGCAAAGAGAAACTAGCTAAAAAGTTTAAGTGCACAGTATTAAATGAGAGGTTTTACCAGCCCTTGCTAAACCACTCAATAAAACACCTTTGATCATATGGCTGAAGCTCCATTTCTACAAAAAGTATCTGTCAGAATAGGTAAGATTCAGTAGTTTTGTCATAACAAACATTTTATTGATTGTCTAAGGGTTCCAAATATATCAGCTCATTCTATTTTCAATAGTGAAGGCTAGAGGTGGGCACAAATAAACTGTTTGAGTATATGCATATGTATACAGTCCATATATGTTGGTAAAAACAAAAGAAAAGGCTTGTTTGGCTGGGGCTTCGCTTTTTTGGTTTGGGTTATTTTTGTTGTTTTGTTTTTGACAAATACTGCAAGTTCTTATGGCAGCTCATGACTTCCAACTCCAGGGCTGTGTAACAGACCAACCACTGGCCAAATTCCAAAGCTCTCCGAGCCACTTCATTCCCTCTGAGCCTTCCACCCCGCTGCTGAGCGGCTGCTGCAGCCAGGCTCTGGGATTTCAGAGGGATTCCAGCTGATGCCACCCTCTCCCCATGGGCAGAGCCTGTCCCAGAGCCGTGCCCAGCTCACCTGAGTGGACTGGATGACTGTGAGGTCGTTGATGTAGCAGAAGCCTGCTCCCATGGCCGAGCGCAGGCCGGCCGTGCCGAAGGTCAGCCGGCAGCACAAGCGGTCCCGCAGCTCCTTGTGCTTCCCATTCTGCAGCAGGTTCTCAATCTGCTCCTTCGTCTTCTGGTTCTGCAAAGGAAGATCAAGGCCTTTGTTCAGTGCTTGGAATCAGGAGCTGAACTGTACATGCTCAGCAGTTGTAAGTAATTCCTAGAGCAAACTCCTCCTATCCTACAAAACGCGTGTGCACCAGCCTGCACCCTAACTCATTTCTCTCCCATTCCTCCCATGTTATCCTTATCAACAAAAGGTTCAAGAGCTTTTGCTGCCACTGATATGGTGATGTGATTGTCTGGTCATTCAGACACCTTCCTCCCCCTCAAGCATAGGCTTTGGAAGGGGTTTTTGCAAGGCAGATCACACAATTCAATTCCCCATCTTTGAAAGATGGGCAAAAATCCAAACTTCAAAGCAGCATTTCCTTCCTCCCCACCCACAGGAAACAGGCCCAGTAAAACCGTGGCAATCACAGGAGGGCCTGGGTTGGAAGGCACCTTGGAGATCGCTCCATTCCACCCCCTTGCACTGGAGCAGGTTCCTAAGCCCCCTCCAGCAGTGGACAGGGTGTTTTGAGGCTGGATTCTTACCCAAACTGACCCCCTGTCCAGACAGGATTTTCCTAAACCCACACCACCGTCACAGCTGAGAACCTGCAAGCGCACAAACCGGACCTTGCACATCTCTGCTGCTTGCTCCTCCTAGTTATCCAACTAATACCGAATTTATTTGGTCACCAGGAAACTGCTGACACCCAGTTTGGACAAGGCACTTCCCACACAGCAGAGGAGGAGTAAGAGTCAGTGGTTACACAGCTGGAAAAACCAGCGACTGCAGAGGTGTAAAACACAGCTCTGGTGGCACAAGTGCTTCTCTAAAGTGGTGCTGCTTCAAGCAGGGTCACAAGGAAGGGTTAAAAAAGGCAGATGGAATCTGCAGAGCAGGGGTGAAGCACCCCTGACATTTAAAACAGAGGTCAGCCAGCTCCAGCAGCACTGGGAAACACGCTCCACACAGACAGGGGGAGGCTCTTCAGGAGGACTGGCAAAATTCTGGGAAAAGCACAGAGATACCAGCCATGCATATTCACTGGGAAAAAAAAAATAATCAATGAAACACATTGGAAAATCTGAAATTACTCCTGCAGCTTGATAACAGACCCTGAACACCAGACATGTGAATTTCAAATAACTTTTTATTTCTGTGTGCTCTAAAATAAAAGGCAAGCCATTATTGTCCAGGCTCCTGGATGGCCTGGCAACCAAAGCAAGACATTGCACACCACGCAGCTAAACACAGGCCTAAAAAGAAACCAAAACAATGGGGCACAATAGATATTAAACTGCAAAAGTGAAAGCTTCTCTTTCAGCTGTTCATAGGCATCCAACCAGAAAACAAATGACTGCTGTGAAAAGAGTCTAAGGCGAGAGTATTGAAAAGCTCATTTCACACTATCATAGTGCGTGGCTTTGCTTGAAAATACAGTTATTAAATTACACAACATCCTCCACATCTTTTTAGGACACACTGCATTGCTTCCCTGCAAAAAAAAAAATATAAATTACACATTCTATAGTTTATAGAGCTTTGCAAAACTGAGGCAATACTCAGGCAATAGCACAAACACTTCTTTAAAAAATAGATTAACAAGCATTTTTGACTGATGCTACTTAATTTCCTAAGGAATAAAAATGAGTTGGCCAAAACAGCACCCAAGTAACTTTAATTTGCTCAGGTCACACTCAGTTAAGCTGAAGCTGCAGAAAATAAAGGAGAAAAAAGTTACAAGTGAAAATCATCAAGCTTTCCACAGATGACCTGAAACTCCTGGGTCAACAGAAAGAGGGAAAACTACAGGAGTGGGTATAAATTCAGATGTGCTGATGATCTGTCTCAAACTCTGGGTTCTAATGCTATTGAATAGATAAACCTGACCCCCAGCCTCCCTTATCCCACCCTGGCACCATCCTTCCTGCTCCCCCGATCCCATCCTCCCTCCATCCTTCCTGCTCCCCTTTTCCCAGCCTGTCACCATCCTTCCTGCTCCCCTTTTCCCAGCCTGGCACCATCCTTCCTGCTCCCCTTTTCCCACCCTGGCACCATCATTCTTGCTCCCCTTATCCCAGCCTGGCTCTGAGCACCGTCTGCCACCCTGAGCTGGCAATTCCAAGCAGCTCCCACTGCTGATCCTTGACCCCACTGCAAAACCTGGAAAAAAGCCAGGGGGTTTTGCTGGTTTGCTTGGCAGTTTTGAAATCAAGTCACACATCTGAAGGTCTCACGGGGGCTTTTGTGAGTGTTCATCTTCCCCAGTGCAAAAAAGAAAAGTTCCTTAGAGATTTTAGACAAGTGTTTGATGATTAACATCCTTAAAAAAACCCTAAAGCTTCCTGTCTTCAGCAGAACTGGGTTGTTTGATACAAAAATAGTCAGCCCTCAAAAAAGCAATGCTTTAAGACACCCCTGCATCCCAATGGCTCTTACAAAGCAACTCAATTCCCTCACTTTTTTATTTTTTCACTTTGCAAAAACAAAATAAAAAGTCACACCCTCAAACCATACCATCAACACCAAAATTTCTATAGAAAACTCCAGCCATCTGTTTATTTGTTCGCCCTCCTAAAACACTAGGAATAAGTCAACTTCATAATATATGTGTAAATAAATAAATGACACCTCTCTAACAGACACACACATATATGTATCCAATAAATCTATGATACCGAACATAAATGTGTATATTTGTTTTGTCTAAATAAATTAGAGACCTAATAAATAAAATAATATATGTCAATATAAAAATATATCACTAATAAAATACTAATTTATCACCAAAAAAATAATACCAAAAAACCCCCTAAAATAATACCAAAAAATCCCAAAAAATACCAAAAAATCCCAAAAATAATACAAAAAAAACCCCAAAAATAATACCAAAAAAAACCCAAAAATAATGCCAAAAAACCTCAAAATAATACCCCAAAAATACCAAAAAACTCCAAAAAACCCCAAAAATAATAAGAACCCACCAAAAAAATAACAAAAAAACCAAAACAAAAAAGACAAAAAATACAAAAGAAAAATACAAAAAAAACCATCAAAAAATATAATACTAATAATATAATAATATATATAAACAACTTCTAGAGATCAAATACACATAGTGACACCTACCTAACACAGCCCCATGTTTTCCATGCACACATCTGTAAATGTTCAGCCCCCCAGCACAGCCCAGGAAGGCCAGGCCAAAGCCACAATCAAGAGGCAACAGCTGCCTCGTCCCCGGCTCCCTCTGGAAAAGGCTCCTGCCCACTGCCAGCTGCACTAGGAGGTGGCAGATAAGGTGACAGCCCTGGGAGAGGCTCCTGCTACCTGAACACACCCTGCTGGGCAGAAGAGGGATGGGAGGACAGGGCTCTGGCTGGTGTTTGGGCTAGGCATGGGCAAGCTGGCACTGTCACAGGGAATCCTCCCTGCAGGTCCCCCAGGACTCCTGGCCTGGATTGTCCCCGAGTGGCAGCCCTGCCCTCACCCAATTCCCACTCCTGCAGCACCCACCAACAGCATGGCAGCATCCTCAGGCACCTACCCTGCCATTTTGAGATGTCATTCTGTGTGGTACCCCTAACTTTCCAGTACCTTTGAGGCTTGCCATGGATAGGTGGCAAGTGGAGAGGGGCCGGAGGCAGGCAATGCCTTCCCATGCCATTCTGAGCAGGATGTCCCCAGCACATCCCAACAGGGCTCTCGGTCCCAGAGAGCAGGGCTTGGCACAAGGTTCTCTCACAGAAACTTTGGCATTACTGTCAGAACCTTCCCTTCAGTACTTGGCATTCCCTGGCACAAAGAAATGGAAATCAGAAACATTTGGGACAGAGACAGACAGGCTGCTGCGTGGGTGACAGCCCAAATGCCGTTCTGCGCTCACATAAACACCAGAAAAAAAGAAGTTCTGCAATTATTTTTCCTCTGGAATTATTAAACTAACATACATGTATATATAAAACAAGTATTTATAAGAAGTCACTGCCAGAATCAGAACTCTGAGGTCACAACCTGCAGGAGACTCTGCAACACGCTTCAGAAAGGTTCAAAGTACTATTAAACAAAATATATATATTCTCCACCGAATTTCCAGCTTTGCATGTACTGCACAGTTGCCTGCTGAGGCAGAATTGCACTTTTTTGTGGCTCATCAGGGTTCAACATTTGGAACAAGTGGAGAATTAAAGACAAGGGCATTAACTGAGTATTTCTTATGGATCTCTTGCACCCAGTCATGCTAATCACATGTACTTACCACCAGAGTTAGGTTTCAAAGATAATACCCTGTCAAAATAACTGGCAATTTACTACTCACAGCAATTTTTTTTTGGTTTTGCACACCCTATGCACGTGCAGCTGAAAGAAGGGGGAAAGTCTCAAGCTGGTTTGAGTTTCCATTATTTTTTCTGTGGCCTTCATTTTCCCAATGTTATTCTTAAAAAATCACTTAAAATAAGCAAAAATATTGGATGGAGAAAGTTACTGGTCTCAATCTATCGAGTCCATTTCCTCTTGAAAAGCATCTCAAAAGCCACAAAAACCAGGAGAACACTGAGGGACACTCCAAAAGCACCAAACCAGCAAGGAGGGACTCTCCACGCTACAGCTGAGACAATGACACCGAGTCCATGAATTAGTAAAATCCAGGGAGAATGCAGTGAATGGGGCCTGCACAAACAGCTCCTGGATAATTAATTCCAGCTTTTCCCCTCCCCATGTGAAGTTCCAGCAATGCCTCTAAGAGCCAAAGCCTCTCCCAGGTACCCCCAGCCCAGAGCAGTGTCTGTGCTTGCCACATGAGCCAGACTCCTTCAGGAGACTTCAGGCAGACGTGGAAGCACAACAGGAAAATCAGGAAGTGGATGAAAGGGAATTAACGGGAGAAAGTGGAGAACAATGACGAATTGTTCACAATTGAACAAAAGGCTCTGCCTTCTGCCTCCAAGCCCAGCTCAAAGCAGTAACTAAGGAGAGAGGATGGGAAAGGGGGGAATGCCAGGAGCTTTAATGAGGATGCAGGATGCTGGTGAGAAGGGGAGGAAAGCAGGATATTCATGCCACAGCCAGGCTTCCTCCACTCACCCAGGGTTTTAGGCGAGGGGAGCACAAACACCCAAACCCCAAAGGACAGAGAGCACAGATCTGGTAATTAATTACAGCAAGCAATTTTCAATTAAGTTGGAGGACAAAAGCCTCCCACAGCTGGGAATGGAGTGCATAGATTTTTCCTTGATCAGAGGCAACAAAAATCCCTGCAGCTCAGGAAGCTGGGGGTGGGAGGGGGAGTCAAGTCTGATAAGCAGCAAAGGACCCACGTCCTCGACTTGTAGTGAAACATGAGGGCATTGGACCCACAATCCCTGCTCATGCCGTATTTCCTGGTTTCTCCTTGCCCTCCCCTCCCACAACACCTTCACCTGGTTTGTCAACACCTCTCCTGAATGACCCCTGGCCCCAGCAAGCAGCCCCCAGTCCTCCTCCTCCTCCGGGCGATTTTGAGTTGTCAAATTTCCCAGGAGCCCTCTTGGAAGCCTCTCCAAGTAGTTCTGAATTCTCCAAGTTCAAGCAGCTTTGTGGGAAAGGTCATGTTTGTCACCTAGGGAAGCAAGGGCAAACAGGTACACTCATGCTGACCCTGCAACTTGCATTTTACTGGTTAATTGCAGCCCCAGAAGGAGCTCTGAAAATGGGGACATTTCACTGTTGCCAGTTTTAAACTGAATACTTTTCCCCCAATATAAGTTCTCTTTGAGTTTACACATTTTTAGGAAAGACAAAACAACCTGTTAAAAACAACAAAAGCCTTTCAATACACTAACAAGATGTTGTAAAAACAACAACAAGAAACGTCCTGGAGTTCAACCTGAGTTATCAAATGTGTTATCAGGAATGCTATTTCCTTCCTCCACTCCTTCCCTCCCCCAGGCCACTATTCCCGGATATTTTCACAGCAGCAGCTCTGAGTGCAGAAGGTGCAGATGGCACCTGTTAATTTCTGCAAAGCTAGGAGGAGACACCAGATTTCCAAGTAGGAGAAAGCTCATCTCAGAGCCATCAGGTGGCCTTTGCCTGTAGCTCTCCTCCTTTGATCCTGGCAGGATGAAATTAAAGAGGAAACAGTAACACACTGGCTGTCCTAGTTAATAAAAATAAAGGCAAAAGAAGTTCAGGAGAGAGAAACCTAAAGAATAAAGGAAAAAAGCATTCAGAAGCCTAAACCTCTGGTGTACTGGTAGTTCACCCTCCCCCATCATCAAGGTATTTTTTTTAAAGCATAGGCCATGATGGTTGGAAAAACCAGCTGCAAAAAAAAACCCCTCAAAAATCCAAAGTAACCCTTTCAACGTCAGGACAGGCAAAAAACCCTCCAACACCACACTGTAATCACAGGTTTGAGTGGCCTCATGCAAATTAATCAAGCCTGCAGTGCTCTTGACACCGTGTTGATGCAAAAAAGAAAAGGGGAATGCTGGAACCTGTCCGTTTCTTTCCCAGGGAGGGGCTAAATTCTTTTTTTTTGAAGAAAACAGACTCACACCACATTTTAATGAGCTACTGATCCATCCATCCCCCCTGCCAGCTGGCCACCCCAGCTGGGCACTAAGGTGGGTCAGGCACAGTGCTCCAGGTGCCACGATGGCACATCCATCCCCATCCCTGCACAGGTGAGCACTGGGCAGTGCCAGGATGGCACATCTATCCCCATCCCTGCACAGGTGAGTGCTGGGCAGTGCCACAATGGCACATCCATCCCCATCCCTGCACAGGTGAGCACTGGGCAGTGCCAGGATGGCACATCCATCCCCATCCCTGCACAGGTGAGCACTGGGCAGTGCCAGGATGGCACATCTATCCCCATCCCTGCACAGGTGAGTGCTGGGCAGTGCCACAATGGCACATCCATCCCCACACAGGTGAGCACTGGGCAGTGCCACGATGGCACATCTATCCCCATCCCCACACAGGTGAACGCTGGGCAGTGTCAGCATGGCACATCCATCCCCATCCCTGCACAGGTGAGCACCACCAGGTGCCAGCATGGCACATCCATCCCTTCCCATCCCCGCACCGCTGAGGGATCCCTCGGGAGGAGCCAGGGCCGCGTTCCAGGGCCGGGAGGGTCGGGGCAGCACCGGCGCCGGGCGGAGGAGACGCGGCTGTGGCACCGTGAGGGGCACGGGCTGTGCCGGGGGGAGTCGCGGCCGCTCGCCCACCTTGTCCCAGCTCAGCCACTGCCACACCGCCTTGTCCAGCTGCGCGTCCCCGGTGCTGCAGGCCACCAGCACGTTGGAGTTCACGTCCCCGGCGGCTCCGCAGTCGCCCATGGTCGCGGGGAGGAGGGGGAGGAAGAGGATGAAGACGGAGAAGGCGCCGGTTCCTCACTTCGCCACGCCCGCCGCCGCACCGCGCATCGCCCGGAAAGGAAGGAGAGGAGGACGGGGGGGGGCTGGGGGCTCTTGCGGGGCCGGTTTTTATCCCCGCCCGGCGCTGCCAGCGGCGATTAACGGAGAGCGACCGCCCCCGCCGCCCCCGCCGCCACCTCCTCCTCCTCCTCCTCGGGCCGGCCCCAAGCCACCGTCCCGCCCCGCCCCTCCGCGGGCATGACGGGAAATGTAGTCCCCGAGGCGCGGGAGGGAGGTGATGGTAGGCGGGACAAACTACAACTCCCAGCAGACCCCGCGGCGCGCGGCCGCCTCAGGGAGCGGGACGGAGCTCAGGGGCCCAGGGTTCGCGTCCCGCTTCTTCCGCGAGGTGAAAAACAATGTCCCGTGTGTCCCCTCCTCCGCACCCACGGGCACCGCCCGTGTCCTGCCTGATGGATCCGAGGGAAAGCTGCAACCCTCCCAGGTAGTGCCCCTCGGGCTGCCCGCAGCATCATGTTCCCTCCGAGAGGGTAATGGATCAGGCGCTGCCCGGGGGGATGAGCTGCTCCCTTAGAAGCGTTTCCAGATGGCAATTCCATAGGCATTAGGAGGAGAATCATAGCCCTCCCCTGGCTGCATCAGCTGTAATTGGATTGCCTGGCCCTGAGCAGCAGGCTCGGAGTGACCACGTCCTGCTGAGCATCCTCATCCAACAGAACATCCCACCCCACACAGCCTCCTCACCCCACACAGCATCCCAATCCCACACAGCATCCCAATCCCATACAGCATCCCAATCCCACACAGCATCCCCACCCCACAGCATGTCCGTGCAGAGGTTGCCATAGAGACAGCAGGCACTGCAGAGGGATCGAATCATGGCATCACAGATGGATTTGGTTGAAAAAGACCTTAAAGCTCATTTCATTCCCACCCTCTGCCATGGGCAGGGACAATTTCCACTGTCCCAGGTTGCTCTGACACCTGTCCAGCCTGCCCTTGGACACTTCCAGGTATCCAGGAGCAGCTTCTCTGGGAACCTGTGCCAGGGCCTCCCCACCCTCACAGCCAGGAATTCCTTCCAAATATCCTGCCCTCTGGCAGTGGGAAGCCATTCCCTGTGTCCTGTCCCTCCAGGCCTTGTCCCCAGTCCCTCTCCAGCTCTCCTGGAGCCCCTTCAGGCCCTGCAAGGGGCTCTGAGCTCTCCCTGGAGCCTTCTCCTCTCCAGGTGAGCACCCCCAGCTCTCCCAGCCTGGCTCCAGAGCAGAGGGGCTCCAGCCCTGGAGCAGCTCCGTGGCTCCAGCAGCTCCATGTTCCCCCTGTGCTGGGATCCCAGGGCTGGAGGGAGCTCTGCAGGTGGGGATGGGAGGCTTTGGGAAGATGGGCAGAGGCTGTGGGACCACTCACAGGAGGTGTTTGGGGGCACCCAACAGGACAGCAAAGTGCTGAATGCTGCACATAGGGAGGGGAATTATAAGAAAGTTTGGCTCACACACAAACAAACCCTCTGGTCCAGAGGTCTGGCTGGGTGTGGGGAGATAAACCTTTTGATTGGTTTATTACAGTGAACTGATACACTGATTAAAGTGAACAGAAGATAAAGACGGGGAGGAAGTAGGTCACCAGAAGTGAGGATGCTCCTAAATCCTCTTCTATCCCTGTTCTGGTACAGAGAAGAAGAGCCTGGACACCAATGAAGTGAGGAAATGGGATGTAATCATTCTTTCTTGTACATCTGGCAGCGTCTGCAGCAGCACTGATGCCATCCCAAGCCCAGAAGTCTGATGAGAACCACATCCCTGGCACATTTCTCCAGAGCTCGGTGCTTTGCATGCTTTTGCTGCTCTTATCTCCTCCTTTGTCTTTTATCTTCAAGGAGAGAAGGCCAGAGCCCAGGATAACAGGAGCTCCAGCCCATAAAACCTTGGGTTTTCCCCAAAACCAAATGAAAGATGGGAGAATCATCCTTCTCTCTGATGTCAGCACTCCTCCGTGATTATTCTCCCGGAGAACAAAATAGTCTCATGGAGGGTAAAAACTATTTCCTTACCAGGAAAAACTGCAGCACAGAAGGTTTGATACTTCCCAGGATCTTAGCAGCACATATTGGGAAGTGATGATTCGTTCCTAAAAGCTTCCCTGTGAGAAGGCTTTGGATTTCTAGCTCCAGGGCACCCCGTGGCAGATGCCAGACAGTCTGAGCAGCACTAGAGCAGGACAGTCATGGAAAAAGATAATGGTGATACAGCTTAGATGGTGCTGATGGAGATTTCCTGCATTGGCCTGGAGACAACACTGACCTCGTGGGAGATGACAACTAAGTCCAGTGTATTTGAGGGTTAATCAGCGTCCAGAAGAATTTTTAAAGCTAATTATTTTGCTCCAGGAAAGCTACAGCCAGTCCCATCTGCTGGCATGACAGGAGTGTGCGGTGGCCCAGTGCAGCACGGCTCTCCCAGGCACTCCGGGGGCGTTGTAGGGCCTCCCCACGCTCACTGCCTGCTAGCACAAACATCTCTTCTCCTCTGCTGCTAGCAACAAAATTTCCACTCATCGCAGTCGTGGAAAAGAAGCCAGAACATTGGCAATTGTTCTGCGAGGGAAGGAAAGCCAAGGTTCCCATGTTTTCGCCCTCACGCATCGTTTCGCCCGATTGAGGCGCAGCACGCGCAGAGCAAAGTGAGCAGCAGCAAACAGCCCAGGGACCAAAAGCCAGGGAGAGGCCAGGCTGCCAGCGATGGATAGGAGCCAGGCAGGGAGGAGAAGGGCTGCCAGGCTGCTGGCAGCCGCCAGCTCGTGTGCTGGGAGCTGCCAGGGCCAGCGGGGACCATGGCAGGGCTCAGCAGGAGGGAAGGGCTGCTCCCGAGCCAAAGGGAGCGCGAGCACCCATGCAGGACTGTGGCACCATGAGGACATTGCTCCTGCAGCCAGGGAAAGCCCTGCTCTCTGCCTGCCAGCAGGAAACCCACAGAGCACATCTGGGACTAGAGCAATTCTAGTCCCATCCCTGCCATGGGCAGGGACACCTCCCACTATCCTAGGCTGGTCAGGGCTCCATCCAGCCTGGCCTTGGACACTCCCAGGGATCCAGGGACAGCTTCTATGGGGAAAGAATTTCCTTTGAAATTTCCTTTGAAATTTCCTTTGAACTCTAAGCAAAATCAATTCTCTGTCAGTTTGAGAAACACTTGTCCTGGAACTCCAGGCCTTTATAAAAAAGTCTCTTTGTCTTTCTTGTAGGTTCCCTTCAGGTACTGGAAGGCCACAGTTAGTTCACCTGGAGCTCCTCTAGTCTAAACAACTTCAATTCCCTCAGCCTTTCCTCACAGCGGAGGGGCTCCATCCCTCTGATCATCCTGGTGCCTCCTCTGGACTCTCTGCAGCAGCTCCAGCTCCTTGTGCTGCTGGCCCCAGGGCTGGGGCAGCTCTGCAGGTGGGCTCTCACCTCAGCTCAGGGGCAGAGCGGCACAATCCCCCTCCCCTGCTGCCCAGGCTGGGGGATCAGCCCACAAGAAGGGCTAAGGCACACATCAGAATCTGAATATAGCATCCTCAGGGATCTGGTTCCACAGCCCAAATCCTCACGCACAACAAACGGGACCAGCCCCAGGGAGGAACCCAGTCTGAGCAGCATTTCCATGGCAATATCACTGTTTATTCCACATCATGTACAAACAGCTCCCATGACATTCCAGGTTGCTTTTCCACTCCAGTTTCTGCAGAGAGACAGGGTTGTGTGGGATGACCCCAGTGTGTTCCTGCAGCGGGTGGCTGAGCCTCTCAGTGCTGCACATGCCCTGGCTCTGGGGCACAGTGTTTGGTTTATAATTTACTTCTCCTGAACGCCCTGTTTGTTCTCCCAGGCCTCTTGGGTTCCCTGATAGTGACACAGCACCTCCCAGCTTTCCCTTCCCTCCCAGAGCCATGGATTGTTGGGAAGTGGAGCGCTCCAGGCGGGCATCGAGGATCTCCCTGCTGAGCTGCCCCCACAGGGCAGGGGCACCGGTGACTTTTTGGGCTGGAATGCTGGGTTTCAAGCAGATCTGGGAGAAGCAGATCTTCACAGAAGGAGAAGGGCTTTGTCCTGAAGGAGCACAGGCAGAGCACAGACACAGAGCACTGGCTGGCAGGTGGGAAGGATGCAACAGGGACTGCTGGCATTAGGAAATGGCTTTTGAAGTTCTGCAACTGCCCCTGGCTCAATGCTTCATGATATCAGCTTTGGGAAGGCCTGATCCCACCCCCTCTGGCACTGGCAGCGCACTCCTTACCCCCCTCAGGAGCACAACACTCTAAATATGCTTTAAAAGCAGTTTGTAAGCTCAGAGCCACTGGGAAAACCTCTGCTCTGGTCCCAAAGCGAGGGCAGGAGTGGCTCCCTTCACCATTCCCAGATTCCCAACATTTTTGGATTCCCAAAATCAACTTTCCCCATTGTGACCCCACTGTCCCTCAGGCTGCACAGCAGCATTGGTGATGTGAGCCTGGCTCAGCACTGCTGAGGGGAGAGCAGCTCTTCCCTGGCCAGCACCTGCTCCCAGAGCACTGCCCGTTTTCCTGGAGGAGCAGCTCCCCTGGAACGCAGTTTCCCACTGCTCACTCAGGCTGTGCCACTCGTTCCAAACCAGGACCCGAGGCAGCCCGTGCTGGCAGCTCAGCACTCACTGCTGCCATTGTTCTCTCACCCTGAGCCGTGATCATTTCACCTGGTGTATTCCTTATTGAAATGCCCAGCATCAAAGCAGTCCCAGGAACAGGCTCCTGCGATTCCCGCTGCCCCAACAACCCAACCATTGATCCACTCTGCCAAGGTCAGCCCCAGCTTCCCACACCTTTCGATATCCTTTTGCCAAGTACCAGACACCATCTCGCCCATGATCCACTGCTGTGAGCCAACAGCAAAAGCCTTAAATAAAGTGGCCTCCCAGGAGCCTAATTTCTTTTCCTAGCCACACTGCTTAAACCTCAAATGTAGTCAGCTACAACTTGCTCAGTTGGATTTAGGGATTCAGCCAAGACCGGCACACTCCCAGCTCTTCTCTCTGTGCTCTGAGGGCATCTCCCTGCTGTTAACAAAAGCTTTTTGAGTGTGACCCAGGAATCATCTGCTCCTGGGGCTGCAGTCCAGGGAGTGAGGCCAGAGCCCATCGGCTCCAAGGAAGAATCTCTGAGCTCTGGGATAAGCAACTAAATAGCTGCAAAATCCTTCCCCTGGCTCCTGAAGCAAACCCATTTCAGGAGGCTACCAAACCCATCCTTCCCTCACATATCCCTGTTTCTGTATCCCTCAGAACACAATCCAGTGCTGAGGATGTTTGCCAAACTGCCCCAGACCTTGGATCCCATGGGGACACCAGCCAGGCTGGAGCCATGGGGACAAGACAGCCAGACAGGAGCTGGAGGTTCTGCGGATACAAGTCCCTGCTCTCACCCCAAGGGTGCCAGGGTGTGTGTGACACCGGGACACTGAGGCAGCTGCCACAAGGTGGCACTGGCATCTTGTCACCCAGCCTGGTGGCATCCAGCCGGCAACTCCGGGGTGGGGCACCCGGGGCATCACCCCAGCCCTGCCCCTTCCCGAATTTACCGGCAGGGATGGATGGACAGTGGAGCTGCCAATGGATCGCAGACCGGGTGGGTAAGCATTGCTGTGTCTTGCAGGAGGGATTTTCACCCTCAGAATCTTCTGGATTAGGGAAGAGCAGCATTACTTAATTTTTTTTTTCCCCCAAAATTTTTATGATGTGCTGTCCTTCAACAGGATTTTCTTCCTTGAGTCACAGCATCAGAAGAGATTCTGGAGTCACCAGATTCATCCCTCTCTCCAAAATGTGGGAAAAGCAAGAATTCCACATCACTGGGGGGATTGTGGGGTACCACGCTCACCAGCCAGCCCCCCATCCCATCGCAGGGTCCCACATCCTGGCCCTGGCTGCTCCATGGCTCATCCTGCTGGAGGAGCTGGTGTTGGAGGAGGACAAACCCCAGAGGGAAAAGGATCAGCACAGCATGTGTCTCTGTCCCCACCTGGCCCGATTCCCCTGATTTATTTGCAGATAAAGGGTTTATTTTCCTTTCCCAGCGCTGCAGGTGCAAGATAAACAGAGAGAAGCCTCTCAAGCTACTTCCTGCTCAGGCCAGGTGCCGGAGGACACCTGCGCCCCAGAAAGCCCTGCCTGGCTCAGGAATCCCAGTGGGATCAGCCCCAAAATGGGCTGCCCAGAACCCCTGCTCCAGGTTTTGTGCCCAAGCCAAGGGCATGGCAAATCAGGAACTGGTCATTAAGCTGCTGCCGTCCTGGTGCCTCCGGTGCCAAGCTTTCCAGACCTACCCCAAACACGCTCACATCCACTATTATTTTTTGGATTAGGGTTTGGCGTCACTGTTTGGGCTCGGGATTGCAACTGTGTTTAACCTTGGAATGCAGGCGGAAAGGCCCCTACGGGCCAGCTAATCTAGCTGCAATTAAAGATATTCATTATGCCATTATGAACAGGTCCAGGCATGCAGCACGCTGGGTCACTGGCGCTGCCCCACAGCCTGTTTTGAAGGACAGGGACATTTACTGTCCTGGACACTGGCCACTCTGCAGGCCAGGTCCAAACCCAGACAGCTTAATAGCAGAGCCAAAGCCAAGGAGCCCAGCAGGACCCAAGAACATCCCCTTCCCGTCCACAGCTGCGCCCTCACCCCATGGAAAACACATTTGGGACCTGCGGTACAAAAGGCCAAAGCTACAGCTGACAGCAGGAAGGAAGCAGGAAAGACTCCGGCATCACCATCCGGAGCCCAGAGAAACCTTGGGAGATGCTTGGAGCCACACACCTCCGGCCAGGCTCGGGCCACGCTCGCAGCGTGCCCACGGCTCCAGCAGCGCCACCCGGACAGCAACGGGGACAAAGCGTCCAGCCGGGAACGCGGGGCTCGCTCCATCCTGGGGGACCTCTCCCATCGTAGGGGCTGTGATGCCACTGAAGGGCTGCCCTTGAATCCACCTTGGCAGCACACAGGCAGCAGGTTCAGCCCTTTCAGTGTCCCCTGGGCTCTGGCACAGAGTGATGCCCCGTGTATTGCCCCAAACATCAACTCTGCTCGGAGCAGAAGCAAACACAAGTCCCCTGGAACCCATCACCTCCTTTAATTCCATGCCAGAAAAGCAGGGCCCAGCCCAGCTCAAACATTACAGGGTTTCAGCACCAGAAAAAACCCGTGAACCACTGTCACAGCTGCTGGGAGCCCAGGGAGGTCAACGCCGGCTGATCTGAGTAGGGAATGGAGAAATATTCTCCTCAAAGCCTCCTGTCAGCCCCTGCAGGCCACGGTGGGAAAGGAGCTGCCCCTGCCATCCCCATACCCACAGTGGAGCCGAGGTGGGTCTGCAGGACCAGGACCTGCTTGCAGGTGGAGCCGAGGTGGGTCTGCAGGACCAGGACTTGCTTGCAGGTGGAGCCGAGGTGGGTCTGCAGGACCAGGACCTGCTTGCAGGTCATGTTGTCCCAGCTCCTGCCAGCCAGGACATCCCAGCGCTGCTCACACCAGGACTGAGCTCCTCCATGGTGGGGGTTCCCAGCAGCTTTGGGGGGTTCTCAGCAGCTTTGGGGGGTTCTCAGAAGCTTTGGGGCCAGCAGCACTGTCGCATCCCACAGCGAGCGGGAGGCGCGCAGCACGGTGACCCCGAGGCCAGCGGCTCCCTGGGGACAAGGCTTGGGCCAGGCTCAGATCATGGAGACCCTGTTCTTGATGTAGACGTGGTAGGGGTCGCTGCGCTTGTCCACCTTGCGGGAGCGGGTGTAGCCCAGGATGAGGCTGCCCACGGTGGCAGCGAAGAGCGTCATGACGAAGAGGATGTACATGTAGGCGTTGTCGTTGCGGCCGGCGTGGCCACCGCGCGTGGTCCCCGCCGTGCTGGCCGGGGCCTGGCCGGGGCAGGGGATGGCCCCGTGCAGCGTCTGGTTTAAGGCGTTCAGCACTGCCTGCAGGCTTTGGTGCCAAGGCTCTGTCCGGTTGTTCTCGCCCATGTCCTCCTCAGGCTGCAGGGAAGGACAGGGAGACTCCGAAGAGGCTGGCCTCACAGTGGAGGTGTTCCAGCAATGACCCCAAACTGCTCCTCGAAGCACCTCCTCTGCCACAAAGCAAGGTGGCCAAACCCTCTGGGTTCCCAGCAGCCTTCTCCCTAAATTTCAGTCCTTCCACAGCGGGGATAAAACTCCCAGGGATCTGGAGCAGCTGCCCGTTCCTCTCTCCTCCCCAGGGCTAGGGACAATGTGGGAACACAGCTGTCCAGAGGGACCAGGAAGGCTGGGTTCAAAGTCTGCTTTCCCCATGGATGTGTGGGGATGGTGGGCACCCCTGCAGGGTGCAGAGCTGGCACAGCCCCCCACAAATAGCTGTGAACCCATTCTGGGGGGATTGCTGCCCTAAACCTCCCTGGGGATTTCCCTTCCCTTTGGGTGCCAGACCCCTCTGACCTGCCATCCCTCCTTTGGCAAGGTGCCCTTCTGCCAGCCCCCCTGGACTCCCCTCACAACTTGCTGGGGTGCCGGGGCAGGCATGGCCAAGAAGGGGCACTGGGACACTGTCCCCCACGTGTGCCATCCTTTGGGACACACCAGTCCCCCCAGGTATCCACCCTGTCCCCCAGCAGCTCCTGAGCACCCCTCGCCTGCTGCACCCCTGGGCAGAGGCAGCTGATCCCCCTCCCAAACGGGTCACCCTTAACTCCAGCTGTAAGGAGGAGGAGGAGGAAGGGGCCGAGCAGCCATGAGCCCAGGGGATGAGGTCGGATCTGCCTGCCTTCCTGACTTAAGAGAAGCAGGCTGAATTTGGGAGATTTAGGGCAAGAGCTGGGTTAATCCCAGGAGGGGACCCACAGATGGGGTACGACCTGGGGGGACCCACCTTAGGGGGATGTAAGGGCAGGGAGAGGAGTGGAAGACAGGGTGTGGGAAGGGGAGCTCGCACTCACCTCGTGTGCCCTCCCTGCCTGCACTGCTGCCAGGCTGAGCCAGGACTGAGCATCGCTGCCGGCGGGGAGGGATGCTGGCCGGGCTGGGAGCGCTGCCAGCCTCCTCCCCTTCCCGGGGCAGAGCCACCTGCCACAGCCACCCAGCCTGTCCCCAGCCCCGCGGGTCCTGCCACAGCCCCGAGCCACAGCTGGATCCCGGGGGCTTTATGGGGCCGGGAGAATGGGCCCTGCCTTCCCCCGGCACACGCTGCCGGTTACGCTTTCCTGTCCCTCCTCGTCCGGCACCGCTGTCCCCAAGCCCTCACACTGGCACAGAGCCTGCCTGGGCATGTTCCTGCTGCTCACCATTCCCTCCTGGAGCTCAGCCTGCTCCAGGAAATGGGATTTCCCCTCCTTCCAGCCCCCCTGGGCACCCACAGGCGGCTCACAGGGAGCTGCCAGTGCTATGCAGCAGCAGAGAAACCTCAAAGTTTGTGGGTAGGGAGAAGGCCCAGAACAGCAGTGAGGGGCTGTGGGTGGGGGTCAGGGTGTGGGTACTTCAGCCTCAGGCTGGCTTCTCAGCCCTGACAAAACCTGTCCATGAAATCAGCCTCTGATGCTGCAGCTGTGACAGCGATCTCAGAAGGGCTGACAGCAACACCCCCTCCAGCACCACGGAGCCAGTGGGAGCAGCTCTCCATCACCCAGCCAGGATGCTGCCTGGTCCCACAGGATCCATGACAGCAGTGGCTTCTCTCCTTGTGAACCTCGACCCCCTCCTCTCCTCCTCCTGCTTCTCCACTGCATCCACAGTGTTCCAATGCCCTTTAACCAGCCTTTACAGCCATCTTCCACCCTCCCTGACACCAGGATCTTTGCCACATGAGTATTTCAGTGGGCTCAGGGCGAGAAAAAGGTTGTCATTGATAAAATCTTGGGGTAAATAAATGAGAAAAGGATCAGCAGGCAAAGTTCCCAGCAACTCTCTTTATATATAAAATCTGATTCTTTTTACCCATCAGCAAGGGAAGGATGCTCGACCCACATGAATTCATGTGAATTCATGAGCATTCACACAAATCTTTCATTTTTGTGGGGCAAAAAGCAGAAAAAGACCCACAAAAGCACCTGTTTGGGTACTTCCCCAGCAAGTGATGTGGGGATGTGGTACCCATGGAGGTCTCAGACGAGGGAAGGAGGCTCACGGGGCCAGAGAGAATGGCCCCAGTGGAGGTTTGGATGTTGAAACAGCAGCCTGAAATGCTGTGCCACTGTCCACTCACAGTCTACAGGCAAAGGCACGAGAACTCATCTCACAACAGAGATGCCCAGGGCTGCCCTGATGCTCGTGGCTCTGCCAAAACAGCCAGCCAAGGCACCACAACAATCCTAATCCCCGGGTTCTTCCAAAGAGACCAAAGTGCAGTCAAACACCTCCTGGAAAGAGTCAAGGAAGGGCTCGAGGACGTGGTTGACGGCGACGTGCTGCCCCAGCTCGTGGCTCAGCGAGGTGACCCCCTTCCCCTCCAGCCCGCAGGGGACGATGTGGTCGAACCAGGTGAGGTCAGTGCAGCAGTTCAGCGCCAGCCCGTGCGAGGTGATGTGGTTCCCACAGTGCACACCTGCAAGAGCACCCACCCGTCAGCACCGTCACCGGGGGGGCCCTGGGGGGAGACAGAGTGACCACACTGCCCAGATCGCTATAAACATCCTCCCCCCACCACACTGTGCTCCTCAGTTCTGCCAGGGAAAACCCACAGACAGGCTCCGCAGATTTGGGGCAGGTGGAGTGCACCACGTCCAGATCCTTCCAGCCCAGCCCTGCATCCCACAGCACCTCCCACCGCTGGAGTTTCCAATGGGGTTGGACATGGGGAAAGCTGCAGGACCCCAGATCCAGGCTGCAGAGTCCCAGGAAGAGGTACAGGATGAGGAGGGGGAACAAGGGAAGCGGGCAAGGCTAGGGACTGGGCTGCAGGCAGGCACCCAGCCCTGGGTGCAAGAGCCGGATAGGTGCAAGGCTGAAAAGTGCTGGGGCCTGGGAGGGCTGCAGGGGCTCAAAATTGTGCTGTCTGCTCCTCCTGGAGGTAAATCCCACCCCTGGATGCTCCCTGGTGCACACCCACCCTCCCGGGTGCCTACAGCTCCGGGCTCCGGCACTGTGCCTTGCCATGATGCACATGGAATGGCAGGATGGGCTGGCAGGTGTTCCATGGGCAGGGACACCTCCCGCTATCCCAGGCTGCTTCAAGGCCTGTCCAACCTGGCCTCGAGCACTTCCAGGGATGGGAAGTGGAGGCCAGGGCCTCCCCACCCTCACAGGGAAGAATTTCTTCCCAATATCCCATCTAAACCTGCCCTCTGGCAGTGGGGAGCCGTTCCCCCTTATCCCAAGTTACTCTCCAGATCTCCTGGAGCCCCTGTAGGCCCTGGAAAGGGCTCTGAGGTCTCCCTGGAGCCTTCCGTTCCTCACGTGGAACGCCTCCAGCTCCCGCAGCCTGGCTCCGGACGGACACACACACACACACACACACACGGAAACACACACACGGACACACACACAGACACACTCCCGGCGCCGTCCCCGCTCACCGATGGCACAGAGTTTGCTGTCACCCATCCAGACCCCGGTGAAGGGCGGCGGGAGGGCTCGGGCCGCGCTCAGCCCGAGGCGGCGGCAGAGCCGCAGCACCAGCGCCTCCAGCCCGGTTACGTAGGCTCGGAGCGGGAGGCGGCGGCGGCGCAGGTCGAGCACGGGGAAGGCGAGCAGCTGCCCGGGGCCGTGGAAGGTGATGTGGCCTCCGCGCCGAGCCGCCACCAGCGCCGCGCCCCGGGCCCTCAGCGCCGCGGCCGCCGCCGCTCCCGGCGCTCCCCGCAGCCCCCAGGTGTAGACAGGCTGCGCCGGCTCGCTCAGCACCACGCTCTCCACCGGCAGCGCCCCGGGGCCGCCCCGGGCCGAGCCCGGCCCCGGCAGCGCCGCCGGGCCCCGCGCCGCCCGAGCCGCCGCCACACAGCGCTCCTGCACCCTCAGCGCCTCCGCGTACGGCACCGCGCCCAGCCGCAGCACCCGCACCGCCGCCCGGGACATGGCCCCACACCGCCGGGACACCGCCGGGACACCGCCCGGACCCGCCGGGGCCGCCGGGCGGGGCGAGAGCACGGCAGCGAACCGGGAGCGCAGGGCGGCGGGACGGGAATGGGGACGGGGACGGGGATTGGGATTGGGATTGGGATTGGGACGGGGATGGGGAAGGGGAAGGGGATTGGGACGGGGCACAGAGGCAGCGGAGATGGAGACACGGAAACGCAGCGGGGACGGGGACAGAAAGCGGGGACGGGGAAAAGAGGCGGGGGAAGGAGAGAGGGGCGGGGATGGAAACGGGAGGCGAGGATAGGCACACGCAGAGCGATGTGGGCGGGCAGCGGGGACAGGCTCCTGTGGGAATGGGGACAGGAGCGTGGCGACAGCGAGAAGCAGGGAAGATAGAGACAGTGGTGGGAGAACAGGGAAGAGGGAACAGAAATGGATGGGGGCCAGAGGTGGGGCACGGGGACAGGATGGAGGACAGGGATCCAGCGGCAGAGGATGGGGGACAGGCCCAGACGTGGTGAATGGGGACATGGAGGACAAGGGAGAGGGGACATCAGGACAGAGGATGGTGATTTTGGGTTGGAGAGTGGGGAGCAGGGCCTGAGGACATGGGACATGGCCCAAAAGCGGGTACCGGGGATGGGGCCTGCAGTGGGGGATTAGAGAGAGGGGACAGGAGATTGAGGACAGGGAGCTTATGCCCAGGGACAGGGGTTAGAGAGAGGAGACAGGAGATTTGGGACAGGGAGCTTGTGCCCAGAGACAGGGGTTAGAGAGAGGAGACAGGAGATTTGGGACAGGGAGCTTGTGCCCAGGGACAGGGGTTAGAGAGAGGAGACAGGAGATTGGGGACAGGGACAGGGGTTAGAGAGAGGAGACAGGAGACTGGGGACAGGGACAGGGGTTAGAGAGAGGAGACAGGAGATTGGGGACAAGGAGCTTGTGACCAGGAACAGGGATTAGAGAGAGGAGACAGGGACACGGGGAGGAGGCCATGGGCCTGGGGGTGGCTGATAGGGCCAGGGCTGCAGGAGGGGCACAGAGGGGAGAGACAAGGCCCCTCTCACAGTAGGGTGTGGGGCATGGGGCAGTAGAGTGGGGGACAGCGTGAGGTGGTGGGGGGAACAGGTAGGGGGTGAGGGCAGGGTGTGTGCACATGACATTGGCTAAAATTAAGATTCTGGGGTAAAATTAGGACAGTTGTAGGTGCTCCTACCCTGGAAGTGTTCCAGGCCAGGCTGGATAAGGCCTTGAGCAACCTGGTCTACTAGAAGGTATCCCAGGCAGGTGGAGGAAGTTTAAGTTCCCTTCCAACCCCTCAACATTGTATGATTCTGTGCTGGCACCTCAAGGTTGTGGACTGTAAATAAAGTTCTTGTATTGAGAGCTGCAGTTCATCACCCTGGGACTGTGAAAGAGAAAATGTTCCTACCCCAGCTTTTTATTCCAAAGGTAGAAAATAGACAAATGTGGTCGAACCACTAATAAGTCAACCATGAAAACCTGAGCAAACTGTTCCCAGCCTGCAGCCCTCCCAGCTTATCGACCGGGTTAAGCGTGTGAAAGTATGTCCTGATTTTATAGAGCAATCACTGAACTCTAGCTTTTATCAGAAACACACCTCTCTGGTAATTTACCCTTTGTCGCCACAGGTAATTCGGCTGTCGGCTGACAAGGTCAACTTCTGTGTTATTGACAAGGAAGGAAGGTGCTTCCCTTTGTTAGGCCATTTTCTCAATGAAAAGGAGAAGAAAGGGGAGAAAAACCACCACAAACCTTACCAGGAATCGAGCAGCACCCAGCCAGAGGATCCTGCCTGGGGTGAGATCATCGCCTCAACCAACTCCAGGAGAGCTGCTCTGTGTCTCTGCCTTGGCAGGAGGCACTCATATTTTTCACCAACAGCATGTGTGCAGCAAGTTATTTCCTTTCTTTTATGATTAAGCCCCCACTTGTTGCCTGGAGATCAAAGCCAAGGGCTCTTCCTTTCTGGCTGGCCTGTGCAGGATGAGGCAAGTTGTGTGTCACAGGGCTGGGACCCTGGTAAACAACACGACAGAGCAGCGTCACTGCCCCATTCACCCTCCACATCCTGCTTTTGAACCAGGGCGGAAATTTGTGTGCAAGGGGGCCACGGGTGGCTCACATTTTATCCTTCTGTCGGGGCTGGAGTGTTCCTAAAGTGAGGTGGGGGCTTTTTGTGTCCATGAAACGGTTGTTTGCTGTCCTGTTGTACCTTCTCCTCTGGGTGCCTTAAACATTAGCAGAGCCCCTGCAATCCTCACCAATTTGTTGGAGTGCGGAACCTGATTTTTTTTTCTGGCAGGAGATCCTCCCTTGGGGAACTTTAGGGATAATGCAAGTCAGGGCTTAACAGCAGGAGGAGGAGGGGAGGACAGAGGTGGTGGCTGTGAAACAGGTGCCTGGCAAGAGGGACTGTCACAGCTCACAGAGAGCTACAGACAGGGGCAAAGGGCAACATCTTGGCTCCAGTGAAGGCCGGGACAAAATTCCTGTTGAGTTTGGCAGGGCTGGCATGTCACAGAGAGGTGACAGAGCTGTGCTCACATCAGGGACAGAGCTGAGAGTGGAGTGCCCGGCTCGGGCTGCCTCTGGCACCCCCAAGCACAGCAGCCCCCTCCCCACGCTGCCACAGCCTTTCAGCAAAATCCCTTTTTTATTTTCCCCAAGGAGATTGTACTCGAGGGCCATTTGCATGTGCCAATGAGATGAATTATTTGGAACGTGCAGGAGTTCAGTGTGTGGCCAGGAGCCACACAGGAGATGCAGCCTGTCCCAAAGGAGCATCCCTGACCGTGTTTCTGGAATCATGGCTGCCCACAGGGCTGGGAAGAGTGCAGAGATCACCTGCCCTGTGCCCCTGACCCTGCTGGGGTTTAATTCTGCCTGGCCATCCCTGCTGGGATCCAGCTGGGTTTCTGAGGCCTCCTGGCTCGGTGCAGGAGTTGGTGCTGGGAAGCCTTAAGCTGTGCTTTGATTTTGGCTTGATCCAATGACACCAGGTTCCCACGTGATGATGCCTTGGAACCAACCTCCTCACACAGAACACCAGCATCACCCAAATCCTACAAGCACCAGCCACCTTATTAGGAACATTTTGTTCCAGAATGTGCCTTCCCCCAGGAGAGCTGGGAGGGGCTGGCTCGGACTGAGATTCCCGGTGCATTTGGGCAGGATTTCAGTGGATGTGTCCCACAGGCAGAACTGCTCTGCTCCCACCCCAGCCTGCTCATTGACTCAGAGGAGCACATTCCCAAGGCTGTGCCAAAGGGGGAAAAAACAAAGAAGCACACGTGTCGGGCTGTGCCACGGGTGCATTAAGGAAGTACTTAAGGAAGCTCCTTGCTGGCCTGGGCAGATGGGTCAGAGCTGGTGTTTCTGTGCTGATTGCACTTCTCTAGGCAGTCGTCATTTTTTGTCCCATCTTGGAGCCAACATGGCAGGCCCCACCCTCCTCCGAGCTTCCCATGCCACGATATTAAGGGCTAAAATCCTTGAAACTTGCCTGCAGAAAAGAGAGTAAAGCAAAACAATATTCTTGTGTGTAGGAGAAAAAATGTAAACTGTGTGTGTTAGCCAATAGTAGCTTGCTCTGCCCGCGGACCCTGTAGAACCCTATAAAAGGTGTGCTAAAGATAGAAATAAACGGCGTTCACGATTACTTCTGTGAAGACTGGTGAATAAGCTGGCGGTCTCTCAATACACCAGGAGCTGACATTTCCACTTGCGAAGCTCAGGTGTGTTGTGTGTCCTTCATCAACGCTGTTGAAGAAGCTTTCACCTCCAGTTTGTGCCTAGCAGCTGGCCAGACCCCTTCCAGGGGTCACCCTGCCACCTGCATAGCCAGCATGACTTCTGACGAGCCAAAATCGCCGCTGCTGAGTTACACACCCAGCACAGCACTGCTTTTAAGAAAGATGTCCCAGAAGAGCTCAGTTGCAGGGGGGGAATGGCAGCTCTTCGGGAACACCAGAGAAATGTCCGAGTGTGACCCCACCTGCAGAGCTGCCCCAGCCCTGGGGCCAGCAGCACAAGGAGCTGGAGCTGCTGCAGAGAGTCCAGAGGAGGCCCCAGAGCTGCTCCAGGGCTGGAGCCCCTCTGCTCTGGGGCCAGGCTGGGAGAGCTGGGGGTGCTCACCTGGAGAGGAGAAGGCTCCAGGGAGAGCTCAGAGCCCCTTGCAGGGCCTGAAGGGGCTCCAAGGGACCCAAATCACATGTAGAGCCCAGGCTCAAGTTCGTGATTACAAATCTCCAGGGCACTTCCACGCAGCCTGATGGGGTGAGGTTGCTCAGATTGTTCCGCAGCGCCGACACCGAGGAGCCAGCCCTGCTTGTCAGTGTGTTCTTCAGAAACCTGGCTCGTTTGAAGGAACTGTGCTTTGTTGACTCTGCCTTTCACACCTCAGAGGAGCTGAAACTCCAAAGTTGGCACAACAGAGGAAGAGAATGAAGCAAGCCCACATTAAGAGACTTCAAAATACTTCACCAAGGAGATCAGGAGCAGCCTGGTCTGGTGGAAGGTATCCCTGCCCATGGCAGGGGAGTGGAACAAGATAGTCTTTAAGGCTCCTTCCAACCCAAACCCTTCTGCAGTTCTAATAATAATGTCCAGTCTGAACCTCTCCTGTTTCAATTTATGTCCAGATAGCTCCCTCAGAGTATAAAGCAGGTGTGAGTGAGACCAAATCCAGATCCCACGGCATTTTAATACAGAAGGAAGAAATCCTCAGCTGGGGAATTCTTACCTCTTACACTCATTCCTACCCTGCAGTACCAGCACACACTATGCCCTGAGGGTGGGAAGTGTGATTTTACACTTACCAGGCACCTTAGCCCAGGTCATGAAATCATCCAGAAAGCTCAAAGCAGGAAACTTAAGGAAAAAAAAACAAAAGATGAAAAGAGACTTAAAACAACAAAAAGACAAGTAACATATTTAAGACCTGCACACTCCTTCCGTAAACCAGACAGAAATGT